GCCACTGTCTCTGCAGTCATGCTGTCTCAGTTTCTCATCGTGCCATCTCTTGCATGTTCCCAAAATCAAGGTGTGATTCTCTCCTCGCTGCTCTGTGATAGTATCCATGAATGTGCTTTTTTCTTTTCTTTCTTAAATTAGCTGGCTTCAAAGAGGTTTTTGCTTAGTTTGTTTCCTCCTGTTGCCTGTTCCGTTAATGGTGTGGGATCTGCCTGAACAGAGGTCTCTTTATATTATCCCACATTTCATCTGCCAGGTCCTTGCAGTTTGCTACTCTGTTCATCCTTCTTTTGTGTCTCTTTCAGGATTTAAAACTTGAAGCAACTCTACCCTTAACTCTACCCTTCGGAAGCTAGCATGGTCTTTAGAGTTCATACTGATTGAAATGTGAATTCTGGCTTAACCACCTAAGTCTATATACCCCTGGGTAGGTTACTAAAGCCCACTGTATCTTAATTTACCTAGCATGTAAAGTTGAAGAAATAATCACCTCACTCAGTGATTGGTGGCTGAATGCCATAACCGGCTGCTCTACCTCTGTTGATCCTGTTGCGTAGCATCACTGTCTGTCCAGTTGCACCATTCTGAAACCTGGGCACCATGCTTGGTGTTCCCTGCTCCTTATCCTACCTCCTCGTATCCAGTCAGTCATTTAGTCCTGTTAGTTTTTATCCCTAAATGTCATATTCTGTGATATTTATGTTTAATTAACTTTCAAGCATTCATTTTCTGCCTATACAAGTATAATGATCTCCTAACTCTCCCAGGTGACCAACTGATTTTTCTAAAGCCCATTCAGTTTTTTCTTCCGTGTGCTTAAAAACCCGTGTAAAAGTGTGTTAAATAGTCGCTCAGTCGTGTCTGACTCTGTGACCCCATGGACTGTAGCCCGCCAGGCTCTTCTGTCCCTGGAATTCTCCAGGCAAGAGCACTGGAGTGGGCAGCCACTTCTTTCTCCAGGGAATCTTCCCGTCCCAGCAGTCAAACCCAGGTCTGCTGCATGCAGGCAGATTCTTTACCATCTGAACCACCAGGGACGCCCTTAGTGATACCGTCTGAAGTCCGCACTCCATTGCTTGACAGTTCTCTGCCACACCTACTCTGCTCACCTTCGTTTTTAATTTTTCAAGTTGGAGTGTAGTTGATTTACAGTGTTGTGTTTCAAGTGTGCAGCTAAGTGACTCAGATATATAGATACCTTTTTCAGATTCTTTTCCATTGTAGGGTGTTATAAGATACCGAGTATAGTTCCTTGTGCTATACTTTAAATCTTTGTTGTTTATCTGTTTTATATATATGGTGGTCTATTTAATCCCATACTCGTGATTTATCCTTTCCCCTAGCTCCCTTTCCCTTTTGGTAACCGTAAGTTTTTCTTTTCCTATGTCTCTGTTTTCTGTTTTGTAAACAGGTTCATTTATATCACTTTTTAGATTCCACATATAAGTGATATTTGTCTTTCTAATTTACTTCACTTAGAAGTAAATGTTTCTTTACTTGGTCCACTCAGTGTTGCTGTAAATGGTATTATTTTATTCTTATTTTTATATAATAATATAATAATGCCATTATTATATTATTATAGACTAATATTCTATTGTGTGTGTGTGTATTTTTTATCCATTCATCTGTTAATGGACACTTAGCTTATTTCCATGTCTTACTGTTGATGCTGTGAATATTGGGGTGCATGTATTTTTTTGAATTACAGCTTTTGTCTCTTCTGGATATATACTTGAGGGTGGAATTGCTGGATCATATGGTACCTCTGATTTTTTAAGGAACTTCCATAGTGTTCTCCATAGTGGTTGCACAAGTTTGCATTCCCACCAACAGTGTAGGAGGGTTCCTTTTCCTCCATACCCTCTCCAGCATATATTATTTGTGTACTCTTTGATTGTGGCCATTCTGAACCATGTGAGGTGATAACTCGTAGTGTTGGTTTGCATTTCTCTGATGATTAACAATGTTGAGCATCTTTTCATGTGCCTGTTGGTCACTTGCATTTCTGTTTTGGGGAAAATGGCTATTCAGTTCTGTTAATTGGATTGTTTATTTTCTTGATGTCATATGAGCTATTTATATACGTTGGATGTTGATCCCTTATCAGATACATTATCTGCAAATCTTTTCTTCCATGGATTGTCTTTTTGTTTTGTAGATGGTTTCCTTTGCTGTGCAAAAGCCTTTACATTTGATGAGGTCCCATTTGTTTATTTTTGCTTCCTTTTCCATGTTAGGAAAATATTCAGCTGTTATGTCTTCAAATATGTTCCCAGGCCCTTTCTCTCTCCTCCTTCTGGGGGCCCCTGTGAATTATTAGTGCATTTGATGGCCTAGAGGTCTCTTAAACTGTCCTCATTTCTTTTCATTCTTTTTTCTTTGTTCAGCAGCAGTGATTTCCACTACTTTCTTTCAGCTCACTGATCCATTCTTTTCTATCACTTAATCTGTTGTTGATTCCTTCTAATGTATTTTTCATTTCAGTTTTTATATTCTTCATCTCTGGTTGTTCTTTATATTTCCTAACTCTTAAAACTTCTAACTTTTCACTTTGTGCAGAAATTAACTTCTCCCAAGTTCTTAGATCATCTTATGATCATTACTCCAGACTCTTTCTTGGGTAGATTTGCCGATCTCTGCAGTTTTTTTCTGAAGTTTTATCTAGCTCCTTCATGTGGAAAATGTTTCTCTGCTGCTCATTTGGCCTGAATTGCTACTTGTATTTTTGTGTTTGTGGCAGGTTAGTTTTGTTTCTCGACTTGGGAGAAGTGGCCTCGGCAGGGTATACTCATTCATGTTTTTTTAAATCATCTCATCTCCCGTCACTTCTCTAGCAGCCTGTAGGCTTTCCCAGCCTGCGTCTTTGCGTATCCTCTTCCTCCTCACTCTGCTTGGCAGGCCTGAATCACGTTTTAAGGGCCAGTTCAAGTCTGACCTTTTCTATGATTCCTTTCCATTTTTCCCCAAATATATCCTTTGTCTCTCACTGTACTACTTTCATGAACTTATTTTCTATTAAACATTCATTTGACTGCTTGAATTTACAAACTTCTTAATGAAACCAACATCACTTACTCATTTTTATATTCTCAAGGCCTGTCATATAGTGTCTGGCATGTAGTAAACGCCTTTATATCTAATAAATGAATTCAACATGTGAAAGTTCCTAGAGCAGTTGCTGTCAGAAAATGTCAGAAGATGCTTAGTCGTTACATGTCATATTTGTGAAGATATATAACACATTGTATTTCCCAGTTTATGTTAATCTTCCTTACTGGAATGAAGCATGAATCCTTAGTGACCTATCCCAAATCCTTTATAAACGTTCTCCCATCTGTCTTTCTAGGTTAGTCTTTTAAAAATTGTGTTCCCAACCTAACAAGCATTTGCCATGCTTTCCTTTTGTTGAGTATCACATCACTAGTGAAGCTGCTGTTACTGATGGAAGTATGTTTCTCTTAAGTGTAAATAGAACCACAGCTGTCCAAACTCTTTTCTAATTTGTTCAGACTAATTATGGAAATTGCCTTGAACTTGCAAGAGAAAATAGAATTTCCCTCTTTTCTGTAATACTTAGTTTACATAGTATACTGTAATGCCATATTATTTTAGTTGTATATATTTGTTACCTACTAGCATATGTGACTTTTGAAAGCAAATATCATGTTTTATTTATCTTTGATGCTCCAGCACCCAGACTTTGCAGTGTTGTTTGATTTTAATGAGCAGAATGATACGAGTTACTCACAAGAGGTCAGTGTTGTCTAGGATATTGTGAATAGACATTTGAGAAATGTGGATTACTACTGGCAGGAGAAGCAGAGTTAATAATAGCAGCCAGCTGCTCACACGTGTTAAGCACTTCTTATATCCAGGCACTTCACATGTATTAACACGTTTGTCACTACAACTTCATGAAGTAGGTGCAGTCATTTTCCATCTTTAACAGGTATAGCCAAGCACAGAAGGGTTGAGTCATTTGCCCAAGGTCCCGCAGTTTGGAACTGTAGGACTCAAGCTGGTCATTCCTGTGCTTTACTGCCTTCCGGGGAACATAGAGAACTGGAAGCAGTAAGAAGGCTAGCCCCGTGGGAGCAGGGTGGAGGGCGGTATGTCCTCTCGACGGGACTTAGCTCTAATGACCTTCTCTTTGATACAGTCCAAGATTTATGACAATGGCTGAGGGCAAGATTTCTTAAACTGTAAAGCGAATACATACCGCTTTGGGAATCTTGTTGAAATTCAGATTCTAATTCTGTAGGGCTGAGGTGTGGGACCTGAGATTCTGCATTTCTAACTAGGACGCTCCCAGGTAGTTAGAGTGCTGCTTCACTGTGGACTCCATTTTGATGGCAAGGGTTTAGGAGTTTCAGTGTCAGAGATATTTTATATGGGACTCTGTTAGGTTCTCGTCTAGAAATTCTCAGATTCTGTGTCCTTAATTGGGTGCATAGTTAGGAAGTTGCTGTGTTATAGAGGGCCTGAGACTCTGGACACCATTTATTTATCCTCCTTCTTATATTAGAATCCCCTGAGCAGTTGTGAAGACTGTTAATGCTCTGACTGTGCTGCAGAGCCAATAAAGATACCTGATGAGTGGGCCTTTATATTTAAAAAATGCTTGCAAGTGACTGGAATACTCAGCAAAGGGTTCAAAACCACTGTGAGCAAATTAATTCATCAGTCTTAGAACCTAATGTGCTCCTTTTCATGTTAACCAAATCTGTTGTCTATTGATAAAAATTGTATTGTGAAAGTTCTCATGAATTGAAAATACTTTAAAATTGCTGTAAAGTCAAGACTAAATGTTAGGCATATGAGGACTATCACCACAGTGTTTTGTTTTGATTAAACCTTCTGCCATTGTTTAGGCTAATGTTCATTTTTTAAGGACTACAAATAAAAATACCAGTAATGCTTTTCTTTTTTCTGTTGAGGATATCTCTGTGAATTCTAGTTGTGTTTTCCCAACCCATTTGTTCTTCTCTTTCCACCAGGGATTTTTTGCCAGGTGGTAGGAGAGATTATACAGTACAAGTTCAGCTGAGGTGAGTTTGAAATTCTTCTGTTACTTTTATACTTGCTAACTATGTGCACATAGTCCTGAATTTGTAAAGTGTAAATTTGAGTACAATATTTAAGAGTTTTTTTTTTTTTTTCTTTAACGCAGACTTTGCCTGGCAGAGACAAGTTGCCCTCAAGAAGATAACTATCCCAATAGTCTGTGTATAAAAGTAAATGGGAAGCTGTTTCCTTTGCCTGTAAGTTGGTTTTTATACACCAGGCTTTTGCTTGTGAGTTTATTATAAATACTAACAAGGCTTAAAAATCGTGACTGCTTAGTGCCAGTGAACAGTCCCAGCATTAAATACTGTTTTCCATTAGAGAGATTCATGGCTCCTTGCAGAAGTGGCAGATTCCAGGTCTGGGGGCGATGGAAAAGATGAGCTTGAAGCATCTTGTGCCAGGAAGTAAGGAAGCTGTGAGAGATTCTTAAGATGATTTCAAAAGGCATAGCAGCAGGCCAGGACCTGTAGGGAAGGACATTAGGGCAGCATGTTGCAGTGGATGTCTGAATGAGCTGGCCCTGGGCCTTGGATGAGATGGTGAAAGTTAGAGGCTGCTGAGGACAACTGGACATGCTGATTGAGGATTCCAAGCTTGAGCCTTGATGGTGCAAACTCTTGAGAGATGGATGCAGTGGTGTTTGATTGACAGCCTGTTGAGAGAGAGGGAGAGACTCTCTCTCTCTCTCCCTCTCTGTCTCTGTCTGTATAGCCTGTTTCTGACCTGATAGATGTCAAATCTTAAAATAACAATTGTTGAACAGGAGTATGTATCTGGCTCCACTGAGGTTTGAACTAAACTTCAAATTTGCTACAGCTGTGTGGCAGTAAAGCTGTAATCTCAATAGTAGTGCATGGCCTGTTTTTCAGAGTGGTTATGTATCTTAACTGAAGAAGTGCTGTGAGAACAGTGATTCTCCCATGATGCTAAGCTGCCGTATTCAGCAAAGCAGGCACCATTTGACATGGAGATGAGGTGACTGTTTAGCATTCCTGCTGAGTGCAAGATTTGGCTCTGAAATAAGTAATATGAGCAACAGCTGTGAGCAGCTGAGCAAGCCAGACAACAAAGTCTAGAAATCTCAGCTCTACCAGGGCCAAGTGATTGTAGTTGAACCCCAAAGTGACAATGGCCTGTGGCCAAGGCCGACCCCTGTACTCGAATATCTGACTTACTGGTTGTCCGGAGTCTCATTTCTGTCATATATAGCCTGTGGATTTATATGATTTACATGGGCTTGTGCATGTTCAAAACCCAGGGGGAACATTTTGCATCTTGGGTTTCTGGCTGTAAGCAACAGGGATCTCAGGAGCTGTCTTTTATCTGGATGAATCATATAAAGATATAAACCAGGGGAAGAAGCAGGCTTACTTGGAACTAAAGGATGCCACTGCGTGGCCAGATGTGTGGCAGAGGAAACCTAAGATTTTGGAATGATAGCACATTTTCCATGGCTTTTCATTTCCAATTTTCTTTGTCTTGGATGGGCTAAGATTTCTTTTGACCTTTGACTTTTATTGCTGTTTAACTCTGTCACTCTCCTTAAAGAAATATCTGACTATGATAATCTTCTTGGTGTCTATAGACCCACCTGGAAGATCTGTCCAGTATTAAATGATTGTGCTAGTTTTGGGGAGTTGTGTCTCTGAAATATGTGAGGCTGTACTTAAACTCTGGTATTGCTGCCGAAAATACGATGGTTACAGAACTGTACACACATGTTCCACAAAATATTCCAAGGGGACCAGTCAGTGGCATGCTTTGGTATAATAATTCTATCTTTAAGATCTACAGCACCACTGTGGATAGCTCTGAATTTGTCACTCTTTCAGGACTGATGAGAGAGAAAAACTTAGGTAGTTGAGCACGTTCTCTGGGACACTGTTGCTCATCACTGCTGGTTTCTCTCCCAAAACACTAACCAACCCTTGAATACTTAGACTAGGGATGTTGGTGAACATACTGACTACTATGTGGTGAGTCCCACACTCACCTCTGGAGTCAGGGTGGCTCCAGGGGCACTTGTGAGGGAGATGAAGAAATGGAACATAGGACAAAGGATGTCAAAACAGATTTCAGAAACAGAAGGCAATGGAGAGGTGGTGGGGGCAAGGGGGAGCTTGCCTGACACTAATAGGGTGGTCCCAAAGATCAGATGCCAGCCTTTCCCAAAGACATTCTTCATCTTTAGCCTTGTGAATTCCTGTGGGACAGCGGACATAAAGGTACATGGAACTGCTGGAGAACTATTGAGACCTTCCCTTGATCCACGATTGAGATATTGTAATATCCCAATATTGGGATATAGATTGGGATAATGTAATATGGGCATTGACTGGCATGTTTATGAGAATCAGGTGAGTATACTGCCACCTTAGGAGAAGAATTGAGCTCTTTACCACCATGGAAATCTTCAGGGACTTTATTCCACTTGTGAGAAGCATCAGCAGGCCACAGAGAAGTTTGACATGTGGTCTTTGCCCATGATCCTGTTTTATTACACAACAGATCTAGGAGGAATGAGCTTTGACAGTCATGGGATTTCCCATTAGGGCTCTGAATAAATTTGAGTTTGTGTCCTGGAACAAGTCCCTGTCTGTATGACCTTATTGCAGTATGCAGTCATGGATCCATAATGGTTGGAAACTCTACTGCCTGAACAGAGAGTGAACTGAATGGAAAATGGTGTTCCCTTGACAATAGGAGTGTGTCTCTGGATAATAAGGGTCAAATAGTGATGAAAGCAGTTTATGTGGTTTTTTTACCCAGATCAAGATGATGACTTTTACATTTAAAAGATACTTTTATCCATTGATTTTTCCAGTCTCTTGATAACAGGGATGACAGTAAGCAGCTCATAGCAGGGCTTGTAGAATGACATGTGCAGTGAGGGCAGACACAAGTGAAACGGCTTCCAGTAACATTCCCCGTACCTCCATCTTTGACCCAAATGCTGCCGTTGTACAGACTGACCACCCAATGAGGAAATTTTGTTTTTGAGGGTAAGAGAGAGGGGAAAAAAAAGACCCTCTTTGCCTGGAGAGTTTTGAAAGGCTAAATTATTTTTCCTTTTAGACAGATTTTGAGAAATGGATGTAAACCTGTGGAGCTGTGAGGTTGGGGGTGTGTGGGGGGGTTGGCGTGGAGGAGTATTTCTTGTAGAAATTCCAAAGAATGGAGAGGATGTGTGCTACAGTGCAGCCGGCAAAAATCTCCTGTTTCCTCTCATTGCAGTGGGAGACATGTCAGTACCAGCGCCATCATCTTAAATGTATTCTCTTTCTGAGTTTGTGGATTTCTTTTTCCTGATACATAATTTTTTTCCTGCATATATTAATTATGCTGATGGTCTGCCTCACAGTAAATCTGGTGTAAAGTAGAATCAGTATTTTCTTTTGTTAAAACGAACACACACATGCTCCAGTGTGAAGAGATTTCCTTGGCCTAAGATGGGATAATATTGGCATCTAAAATATAATACTTAAACAGACTCAAAATTTTCAAACATAAGTGAGTTCATAATTATGCTAAAATAAACCATTGGAGGTTGCATCAACTCATTGCTCTAAAAATTGATAAAAGAGAGAATTATTGATTTCGGAGTAACCAAATGTTGATGTGGTCAAATTGTTTATGGAAAGGTTTAATACAAGCAAACCTTTTTTTTCTTTTTTGGTAATCCCTGAATCATACAATGGATCTAGGTAACCATGATCAGTGGATACTGAAACCACTAGGTCACAGGTAGATGGGAGGGATCAGGCTGACATAAGCTGAACTGATCGACCTTGCCATCCCTGAAAATGGAGCAGACAAACATTATGCACCTCATGACTTGGTACAATAAGAAGTCCGTAGCTTCTCTATGAAGTTTTTGTCTCTGAAAACTTGAACCTGAATCTAGTCAAGTCTATGCAACTAATTACCAGCTTAAAACATGGAGTGTCACATCTTCAAATTGTGAGGAAGCAGTCAACCAAATCCAGAAGATGAGAATATTCTTCAGATCAAGGGCCCTGGCGCCCCCAACAGAACAATAGCATCAGAAACAGTAGGAGTTGGGGCAGAGAGTGAGAGAGTATAAAAATTACTCTTTAGTGTAGAGTAAGGGAGACTTTAGAGACAGCTGAGCACATTGTGAAGCTCTAGTTTGGATTCTGATTCAGACATCTTATATGCCAAACTGTGTATGGATAAAATAATGTGTCTGGGATACTTTATATAATACTCTGAGATGGGCGAAGACTATGTATAAGTACCCTATTGAATTGGGTGATAGTTTGTTTAGACTTTTTCTCTAGTTTTGTATACATTTGAAAGTTTCAGTAATAGAATAAAAGACATCTTCGAGGCAGATGAGAAGTTACAATATAAACTAGATATTAGACAATTTTTTAAATCATGGTTAATTTTGTAAGGTTATGATACTGTTTTTATTTCCTGAGGTCTTTTAAAGTTGCATATAAAAGTATGAGTCCAGTCACATGTCTAGAAGTTGCATTTAAAAAATACTTGGGCAAAAATAAAGGTGTATATGTATGGAGTCCCCTTCATAGATCATAGCCTTGTCGTGGCAAAGGGGTTTGTGTAACCCAATGAAGCTATGAGCCATAGCAGGCAGGGCTGCCCAAGAGCGGCGGTTCATAGTGGAGAGTTCTGACACAATGTCATCTATTGGAGAAGGGAGTGGAAAACTTAAGTATTCTTACCACGAGAACCCCATGAACAATACAAAAAGGTGAAAGATAACCACTCCAGGAGATGAGTCCCCCTCCCAGGTAGGTGTCCAGTATGCTACTGGGAAAGAGCAGCGGACAGTTACTAACAGCTCAAGGAAGAATAAAGAAGCTGGGCCAGTTGTGGATGTGTTTGGTGGTGAAAGTAAAGCCCAGTGCTGTGAAGAACAGTATTGCAAAGAACCTGGAATGTTAGGTCCATGAATCAAGGTAGATTGGACGTGGTCAGGCAGGAGATGGCAAGAGTGAACATCAGTCTCAGGATTCAGTGAACTGAGATGGACAGGAGTGAGCGAATTTAGTTCAGGTGACCATTATGTCTACTACTGTGGGCAAGAATCCCTTAGAAGAAATGGAGTAGCAATGTTTTGTGCAGTGATGGGCACAATAAAGGGCAGAAGTGGTCAGGACCATTTAATAGAGACAGAAAAGATTAAGAAGAGGTGGCAAGAATACACAGAAGAAGTATACAAAAAATGTCTTAATGACCTGGATAACCACGATGGTGTCACTCATCCAGCGCCAGACGTCCTGGAGTGTGAAGTCAAGTGGGCCTTCGAAGAAAGCTAGTGGAGGTGAGGGAATCCAGCCGAGCTGTTTCAAATGCTGCACTCAGCATGTCAACAAATTTGGAAAACTCAGCATTGGTCACAAAAAAAGATCAGTTTTCATTCCAGTACGTAAGAAGGGCAGTGCCAAAGAATGCTCAGACTGCTGGACAGTTGTACTCATTTTGCATGCTAGTAAAAATTATTCTCAAAATTCTTCAAGCTAGACTTCAGCAGTATGTGAACTGAGAACTTCCAGATGTACAGCTGGGTTTAGAAAAGGCAGAGGAACTAGACGTCAAACCCAGTGTTTGTTGGATCATAGAGAAAGCAAGGGAATTCCAGAAAAACATCTGCTTTATTGACTACGCAAAAACCTTTGATTGTGTGGATCACAACAAACTGGAAAATTCTTAAAGAGATAGTAATACCATACCACTTTCACCTGAGCAACTTGGATGCAGGTCAAGAGAGCATTTTTATCCCTCACAAGATTTTAATAATTCCTTTGAAATTCCCCAACTTGCTCTTTTTAAAAAATTTTCAGAGTTCGTTTTCCCTCTTTGCCACCCCTGGTATTTGAATGAATGCGAGTTCCTAAAATGAATCAGTATAAAAAGATTCAATTTTATTGTTTAAAAAAGGAAAAAAAAATCATAGCCAATATGGCAAGATCTCAGCACCTTTGATTTTAATGGAGCATGGAATTTTTGTTCTTGTATTTTTCTGGATTTGTAAAATATTCAACGTTTTTAAAAGGTTATTTTCCTCTTCTGGGTTTTGTGTGATTTCTGGGATAAAATAAAAGAATTTAGTGTGACTGAAATTAGGCAACATACTGTACTTGGAGAAAATGTTTGCTCCTCTGCAGAGAATTTCAAACTGCTTTTCTTTTTTATGGTTATAGGGCTATGCACCACCACCTAAAAATGGGATTGAACAGAAGCGCCCTGGACGCCCTTTGAATATTACATCTTTAGTTAGGTTATCCTCAGCTGTGCCAAACCAGATTTCCATTTCTTGGGCATCAGAAATTGGAAAGGTAAAGATTCTTTTCTCTGAGGAGCATGAAAGTGATTCCTCTAGGTGGTATTGATTTACTTTGCTTTTTCTTAGGGTACTAGTGAAATCTCGTTCACTTTTCTGTTTTTAACCCCCAAAAGCCATAATTTTCAATTCAGGTAGAGATGTGAGATTCTTAAAAGGTTAAAACTTTAATGTTTCTTCAGTAGCATCTCTCTGTTATCTTCCAAAGGAGATAAGTACCTTAACAGTATTTCTTAAGTTAATGGTTAATCATTACTTGTGTTTATGTTTGTGTTTTAAGTGGTATTTTAAGAAAGTGGGAGTTTGGGCTACTGTTATATATTTATGAAGAGGGATGAAGAAAGCTTTATGAGGCTTTGGGGGAAATGGTTAAATGTACTCCTGTTGTGATTAGACATAATCTATTCCAGCCTTTATATGCACTGCTGATACTTAAATAAAGTGAGCATCTTATAATATTTACTTATATTTAGTAGAAAATATTTACTTAGATTTGTATTAATTCCTCCATACTTTTAGATTTGATGAACCTGGGTTTCTGAAGATACTTAGTCTTAAAAAGCTTTTTGTCAATTATGAAATACTGATTAATACAACAAGGGATTTCCATTTTAGAACTGCTTATTTACATAACTGAAGTAATAGAAATGGAAGAGATTTCAATTAATTTCTGATCATCAGCTTTAATGTTGGAATTTCATAGAAATAAAGGATAGCTTTCCTATTTATGGATGGAGAAGTTGAGTCATGTTTGTAGCAAGAATTAATTTGGTTTTATCACCGAGGTAATTGCCGAGCTGGACATAATGAATATTTTGTATTAATCTTTGGTCTGTAAAGATACTAGGACCTCTTTAATGATTGTTCTCTTTAGCTCTCATTTCTGAATTTTTACTATAATTTGTTTATCTAAGACACTGATCCCTAATATTTTTTATTTGCATGAACTTAAATGAACAGTGATGTAGCACTGGATAAGGATTCAGGAAGTCTTGGCTTAGTCTGAAGTTAGCAAATTGTTTGATTTTTGCAAAATTGCTTAATTCTCTGGAGCCTGCTTATTATGAACAATAAGTAAAATCTTGAGAATAGGCATTATATACAAATATAAGGGACATTATTAACTGAGCCAGTACTAATGCTTTAATGTTTAGTGAGATGATAAAGTTTTTTGAGAGAAATTTGAGCAGGAAAGCAGTATATTTTTTTGAAATGATTATGACCTTATAGATTTTGTTTTTGAGTAAATAATTGCATATATTGAAGGCTTAACAGTTTTTTTTTTTTTAAATCCCATATTATGGCTGCCCTGGTAGCTCAGCTGGTAAAGAATCTGCATTCAATGCAGGAGACCATGATTTGATTCCTGGGTTGGGAAGATCCTCTGGAGAAGGGTTAAACTACACACTCCAGTGTTCTTGGGCTTCTCTGATGGCTTAAATGGTAAAGAATCTGCCTGAAATGTAGGAGACAGACCTGGGTTGGGCAGATCCTCTGGAGAAGGGAAAGGCTACCCACTCCAGTATTTTGACTTGGAGATTTCCAAGGACAGAGAAGCCTGGCAGGCTACAGTCTACGGGGTCTGAAAGAATCAGACATGACTGAGCGACTATCACTTAATGGAAATAATATTCTTTCCTTGCAATTGTAATGATTAAATTTGTATACTCTTTTGGGTAGTCAGATATGTGAAAGGACTGTGGCAGGATGTTAAAAATGATATTTAAAGTATTTGGTCTGGCAACTATTGAAAGTATTGTAGAATCAATTGAATGAGTATGTGTAGTGAACTGGTAAGATGGGTTTTAAGTATTTAAGTAAAATGATATATCATCTCTTCATTGCTTTATAAATAGCTCATGAAAGTTCCTTTGTGCCAAGTCTAAGAGGGTATGGAATTGGATGCTATTATTTTCTCACCTTGTATTTTTTATTTTTATTATTTCTTCATGTGTCTTATATACTACAGTAGCTGCCCCTTCCCCAGTAAAATGCCCATTTGGAAATAGCAATTAATTTGTCAAATTTTTTCTCAAAAGAAAGCTGATTTGGGGTTCATGTGAATAATTTGCCTAAGGTCATGTAGCAGGTGTCTGCCAAAATTAGAACTGTGGAACTCTGTATTAGAAATATTAATTTAGACCACAGGTGTTTGAACTTTGTTTCTGTAGTGGAACTCATTTTTCATTGAATGTATTTTCCCTATTACGTAAAAAACAGAAAATTCTAGTTAGAAGTGTTCATAGAAGGGTGTATTCTCATTTATACTAAGGTGGCTCCTAAGGTACCAGTTTTGCTAAGTTAGAAACAAAGTTTGAAAACCACTGATCTGAGCATTTTATTTTTCGCATAGATGTTTTAAAGTGGTAAGTCATTGAGAAATACTTTAATAGGGTGAAGCATTCATCTTCCCTAAAGTAACTGAGTTGATTTTATTCCCTTCCCAGTCACTGACTTTCCTGTATAAGTTATTTTGAATGTTGTTTTTAGAAACCAGAGTTTCTTAGACAAGTGTTTTATGTAAATAACTATTATCTCTCATCTTTAATACAGATTATCTTTCTTTGTAGAATTACTCCATGTCTGTGTATCTTGTACGACAGCTCACATCAGCCATGTTATTACAGAGATTAAAAGTGAAAGGTATTAGAAACCCTGATCATTCCAGAGCACTAAGTGAGTATTGTCTGTAAGACTGAGCATATGAGATGGCTTTAAATGGAAATTTTTAAAGCTTCATATATACATCCATACAGAAACAATTTGGGAATAATTATTAAAAACCAAAAATAAATTATGAGTTAAAAATACTCTTAAGAATGGGGCTGTATAAATTGAAAAACCCTTCTCTTAGAAACTGCTCCCAAGAGGATGAAGTTTGAATCTCAACTAATATTGATATTTTGCCTTTTCATAAGAAGTTACTTTGGTAAATGTCTGTTGGCAGTTTTGATGCCTGTGTTGGGAATAGGAACGCAAATCTTCAAGTCCTCCAGTGTGTAGTGTGCTATACTTTTAACTTAAAAGGTCTTTTTGCAAAAGAAATGTTGATATCCATCAGAAATAATATTTGCCTTCTGAGATGTTTTATTTTGTACTTTGATACTTTCATGCTGTGTAGTAATAGAGGATAAAATGTGTAACCCAAGCTGTAAATAATTTTGTAACTGATGTTAATTGAACAAGATGTTTTTTTCTGGGAAAGAGAATATTTTTCCCCCAGTTACCTCCCATATCACTGAATGAACCAGAAAGGAGAGAGAATCTGTGGGTTGGAAAGGGAGCCAAGTAGGGCTGTTGAAATGGTATTTTGTTTCTTATACTCAAACCATTTCTCATCTCACACAACACAGCGTTGATCTTCCTGTCTAGAACTGAAAGCCAGGAAAATTCTTCCACAATTCTTCTTACTGCCGAAGGTTCCCCTCTTTCTAGTTCCAGTCCTGTTCTCCCTGTCATGATGTTGAGAATCAGGCATCTGAAGGCAGTTTATGTATTTATTAGTCTGTGTGAACAGTAACTTGTATGTATTATGTGGTGAAGAAGATAGCAGATAATCCTACATCCATAGTAGTTTTCAGTAGTCGAAGTATAAAAATATTTTACCTTTTCTTAAAAAGTATAAGAATATTTTATTTGTAAAATTATTTACAGATTTAACAATTATTGGAAATTACATGTACTCCCTAATTAAAATAGTCATACATGTGTTTTAGAAAAGTACTGAAGCTCAGAGTACAGCTGCCTTCTCTAATTGTATTGTTCTTAAGTCTGAAACAGCTCTCTGTTTTAAAAACTCTTCTTACCCATGATTTTACTTTTAAAAAGGGATCTTAAAAATTTGATTAAACATATCATTTAGAGTTTGTAATTCTTTAACCTAATATTGGAAGTGTGGCTGTGTGTTCAGTACATTAATACTTAACATTTTGTTTTTGTAGTTTCTTGATCTGTTGAAGTGTTTGGGAAATTTTAAATAAGATGGGTATGTTTCTATAATTCTGTTCATAAGTCACAATTTTTTAAGCGTTGTGTTTATTGTTGATTTTCCCTCAAGTTAAAGAAAAACTTACTGCGGATCCTGACAGTGAGATTGCTACCACTAGCCTTCGGGTGTCCTTGATGTGCCCTGTAAGTAAAGCAGCGAAACATTCTGAGGCATTTTGCTTTTTTATAAGTTACTAATTTTCCTATAACAGTAGGTATGGCAATGAATGATACAGTATAAAATATTGAACATTTTTGGTTTCCCAGTCAAGAATCTTCATGGATGAGGATTATAATTCCAAAGAAAGCAAGCATTCTTCAGGCAGTGACTAAGCAAAAAGAGACGTAAAAGGATATTGTATCGAAGAGGAAAGAGAGCTTAGGTTCACAGTAATCTGTCACTGCTAATTGTAGATAATCCACAGCTAATACTGAACATAGAGGGTTGGCTCCTTTCATCAGCATATAAACTGTGTTGAAAAATAGCAACAAAATTATTAGGGCCTAATGCTAATTGATGGGAGAAATCAGGAATAATGGATGAAGTCTTCTTTAAAATCACTATTGGGAAGGACCCTTTCTGGATGAGAGGAACTTTATGAGAAAAGTCCTAGAATTAGGAATTTATGATATGGTTGGGGGGACGGTTGGGTTTGGCAACCAGCTACCATTGTGTACAGTTTTTTAAATGGAAAGAGAATTGTGTCGGAGAAAGGGATAATTTGTTGAGCTCGTATTACGTGCTGCTTAGACTGTCTTACCTAGCAAACCTGTATGGAGTTGTTCCCATTTTGCTGATGAGGACCCTGAGACTGAGAGGGGTTGCTAACGCAGATCACACATTTAGGTTATAGTACAACAAGGATAGGAGAAGGCAATGGCACCCACTCCAGTACTCTTGCCTGGAAAATCCCATGGATGGAGGAGCCTGGTAGGCTGCAGTCCATGGGGTCGCGAAGAGTCGGACACGACTGAGCGACTTCACTTTCATTTTTCACTTTCATGCATTGGAGAAGGAAATGGCAACCCATTCCAGTATTCTTGCCTGGAGAATCCCAGGGATGGGGGAGCCTGGTGGGCTGCGTCTGTGGGGTCGCACAGAGTCAAACACAACTGAAGCGACTTAGCAGCAGCAGCAGCAGAACAAAAATAAAGAGTTTGGTCTTCTGACAATATTCCAGTTTTCTTGACAAGGTAACATATTGCCACATGGGGCCAAAAATATAAATATTCTGATTATAAATCTACCTCTCTGTTACTCGGAAAAGCAGCATTTGCAGGTATCTTTCTTTCTAAAGCTTTACTATGTATTATCATTTACTTGAACTTACCGTTATTGAAAAGGGATAGAATTACATGAAATTGGGATTGCTTCCAAACTGGGACTCTGTGGTTGTGAGCGGAGAGAAGGCCTGCAGGAAGACTTTGATGCCCTGAGGTGGCAGCGGAGACCCTCGAGGGCACGTGTTGAGGTCCAGGGGCTTCTCTAGGCACCGAGCGTCAGTCCATCTGAGTGTCCTCGCCTTTTTCTCCTTCCCATGTTAAAATTGATGGTAAATTGAAACACATGAAATTTCCATTTTGTTAGTCAGAAACAGTTTGGATAATAGAAATTTCTTAATGGTTTAACCCTAGTGTAGTTGGCAGATACTCATTGCTGGCTATATTTTAAGCACAGCCACTGTTTGGGAATGGAACTTGTGTTACCTTTATGTTTTAGTATGTCAGCCTGTTGTCAGGAAGAAAGCACTTCTCTTTACCAAAGAGCACTTCTCTCTGCTTCTCTTTACAACTAAGAAGTTGTACAGTTACAGAGTGCCGTGTTCTGTAAGGTTTTTTTTTTTTTTGAAGCATTTTTGTTTGTGTGTGTTTTTCCTCTTTTCCTTCAAATGCTATGCTATTCTACATGACAACAACCAAAACAATAACCAAATTGTTGGATTCTTGGACATTCAAAACAGTGAAAGTGGCATATTGAAGTGGTTGGGATTTCTCCTGTATAAGAATGGGTTCCTTTCAGATGTGTCAGTTTTAAGAAAACCAACAGTTTTAAGAAAATTATCAGTTCTGTTATTTGAAGAAATAACAAGATCCTGTTTAAAGTTCATTAAATGTTTTCTTTCTCTGCTTACAAGTGAGAACAGATCAGTTTTGAGACTGTCTTTTGAGCTTTTCCTCAATATTCATTCTACCTGATTTTTTTCAGAACATTTTCTAAGAAAACAGTGAATGGTACTCTTCAGACTGTCCTAGTGTTAATATACGTTGGGTTGATAACTGTAGGATGTGGTATATGTTATTAGAAAGTCAAGCATAGGTGTTTTGAACAAACTTAGCAGATAGATGATGGAATTTAGATTATGAAAGTAGTTTTAGAGGCAGAGATACTATAGCGAATGGAAATAAGACAGGAAGTAGGATGGTGCTGGGACCTGGCGAAGAAAGAAAGGATTATAGGCAGTTGGCAGGATAAGCCTAAAAAACCCTGGGTTTATTAGGCAAAAATTAGGGAAAATGATAGCTTAAGGTGGTGGGAGAAATGTTCTGTTTTCATGATATGTGAAATGTTCTGTTTTGTAAAGTGATTTAGAGTAGACATGAATGTGGATAGTGAGAGTGTAGTCTATGATATCTGTCCTTGGGACCTAAGGGAGCTATGTTTTCAGCACTAGTTGTTAAAGAGGGATCTGATTGAGTGTGTTTAATTAACTTTTTGAACACAGTATTGTAATTTTACACAGAATTGAGATTGGACTGAAAACTGACCTTTTCTAGTCCTGTGGCCATTGCTGAGTTTTTCAAATATGCTGACATGTTGAGTACAGCACTTTAACAGCATCTTTTAGCATTTTAAATAGCTCAGCTGGAATTCCCTCACCTCCACTAGCTTAGTTCATAGTAATGCTTCCTAAGGCCCACTTGACTTCACACTGCAGGATATCTGGCTCTAGGTGAGTGACCACACCATCGTGGTTATTCCTGTCACTAAGACCTTTTTTGTATAGTTCTTCTGTGTATTCTTGCCACCTCCTCTTAATCTCTTCTGCTTCTGCTAGGTCTTTACCCTTTCTGTCCTTTATCATGCCCATCCTTGCATGAAATGTTCTCTTGATCTCCCCAGTTTTCTTGAAGAGATCTCTAGTCTTTCCCATTCTATTGTTTCCCTCTACTTCTTTGCATTGTTTATTGGAGAAAGTCTTCTTCTCTCTCCTTGCTGCTCTCTGGAACTGTGTCCAGTTTGGAGCACATCCCTTGCCTTTGGCCCCTCCTCTTTCCTCAGCTGTTTGAAAAGCTGCCTTGTATAACTGCTTGGCCTTCTTGGATTTCTTTTTCTTGGGGATGGTGTTGGTCACCACCACCTGTCCAGAGTTATGAACCTCTGTCCATACTTCTTCAGGCACTCTGTCTACCAGATCTAATCCCTTGAATCTATTCATCACGTCCACTGTCTAATCATAATTAATTATTACTTGGGTCATATCTGAATGGCCTAGTGGCTTCCCCTACTTTCTTCAATTTAAACCTGAATTTTTCAGTAAAGAACTCATGATCAGAGCCACACTCAGATCCAGGTCTTGTTTTTGCTGACTGTATAGAGCTGCTCATCTTCAGCTACAAAGAACATAATCAGTCTGATTTTGGTATTGACTCTCTGGTGACGCCCATGTGTAGAGTCTCTGTTGTTGAAAAGGGTGTTTGCTATGACCAGTGCGTTTGCTTGGCAGAATTCTGTTAGCCTTTGCCTTGCTTCATTTTGTAATCCAAGGCCAAACTGGCATATTACTCCAGGTATCTCTTGACTTGCTGCTTTTTCAATTCAATCCTCTGTGATGAATAGGACATCTTTTTTTGGATCACTACCTTGTCAGGGCGAAGGGTCTTCTGTAACTCAGTGAAGCTATGAGCCGTGCTGTGTAGGGCCACCCCAGATGGTTGGGGCATAGTAGAGAGTTGTGACAAAACGCGATTCACTGGAGGAGGGAATGACAAACCAGTCCATGAGATAGATTTTCTATCAGAATAAGAGAACTGGTTATAAACTGAGATTTTTTTGTAAAGGGAATATACAGGGAAGTTTGAACGGCTTTACAGAATAGCTTGGTCTGATCTAATCTGGATGTTATGTATGTCTTGATGTTCGTATTCCTCTACCAATTGAAATAAGAATTGAATAGAGAACTAGGTTTATCAGTACACCGACACTTGCAACATATGTGATTATATGAAAGTAAAAAGTTTTCTTTCTTAAGTGAAAAATACATTTGCAGTTCATATCACATATATGAGACTGACTAGTATAGGTAACCAAAGATTAATAACCAAGTAGAAAATCAAGAAGGTTTTGAATAGACAGTTTTTGGAAGCACAAATGACGCTTAGAAGCTATAAAAAGCTCAGCTTCACTTAGAAGTGTATTACAAAACTATAATGTCAGATTGGCAGAGGTTAAAGGGTTCAAGAACTTCTATGTTGATAAGGTTGAGGGGAGCCAAGCACATTAATACATGTATATATGTAAATCACTAGGTAATTTCTATGAAAGTTAGTTTGTCATTGGGACAAAAATCACAGATATGCTTGGACTCAAAATTTCTCCTTCTAGGAATTTATCCCATAGCTATTTATTGCAGCATCATCTGTAGTGATAAAGGATTATAAACAGTTTAAATATAAGTACAGAATTGTGTGAATTGCGTGCCACCATTTCTGTGAAAATATTTTTTAAAAGACGCTTGATTATGCATAGACCATCTGTGAAAGGACATGCAAGAGTTGGATAGCAGTGGTTCCCTTTAAATAGGGGAAGAGATGAAAAAGAAACATGTTTTCATTTTTTAAAAAATTTACTTATTTTTAATTGAAGGATAATGCTTTAAATGTTTTCATTTTATATGTATCTTTGTCTACCTGTGATTTTACAAGTTTTACTTACTTTCAGAAAGTGAAATGGTCTTCTTAAAATTATAGCTCAAGCAGTGAATGCAAATACAGTATATTGGAGTCTTGATGGAAATAAATTCTGGTTTGAATTTCTTTTTCATTTTGTTAGTCTCGTATGACTTCTTCAGGTTTTTATGACTTGAGGCTTTGTTCTCCTTTCTGAAATGACTTTCCACGTTGTCTTCTAGTTAGGGAAAATGAGGCTGACAATCCCATGCCGTGCGGTCACTTGTACACATCTACAGTGTTTTGATGCTGCCCTTTATCTGCAAATGAATGAGAAGAAACCCACCTGGATTTGTCCTGTGTGTGACAAAAAAGCTGCCTATGAAAGTCTAATTTTAGATGGGTAAGTATATCCAACATAATACTTAATTATGCCCAATCTTATTTTTAAACTGTAGTTAGTGGCCCTTCTATCTTTACAGTATTACAGTGTTGGGGGCAAGAGGGTGAGTAGTTTCCTTTTCTTTTTCTTTCCATGATCATATTTCATTACCTATAGGAAAGAGGGTAAAATCCACTTAGTGATGTCATTTTGCTTATCTAGAACTAGAAGAGCAATGAAGTCTCTGCAAAAACATACTAATTAAGTAGTAGGGTAAATAGAGTTGTGTTATGCAGCTGGTAAGTTTAAAATGGGAATTCACTTCTAGGTTTTTCTGACTCTGGAGCCCAAACTCTTAAGCAGTATCGCTCATATTGTGTATGTTGAAATTAAGGAAAATAATACAACCTATTGTTAGTAAGTAATGTGTATATACATTATCATTTTCATTCAATATAGAGTGAAAAATAACCTATATCTTTAAAGATAATTCTGCAGCAGGTTTTTTGAAGTTTGAAAAGAGTATTACTATAAAGAGGAATGAGACAGTAAAGAGTGGTGGGACTTTTTCTGTCTGTAAACTTTTACTTTTTAACTTGCTTTGAAATAATTTAAAACTTACCAAGAAATTGTTAACAGTAGCATAATGTGTCAGTTGTTAACATTCTGCCCTATTGTTTTACCACATTGCCTCCTAATTTGTATGTATTTTTGTGTGTGTGTGTTTGTGTATGGAGAGAAGGTGATTATCACTGTTCTCAGGAACCTTTGAACCATTTGAGAAGAAGTTGCATGTTTCATGCCCTTTTGCCCATTCATATTTTAGGATGTGCTTCCTGGATACTAGACACTGTGTCTTGGGTACACTGCTTATCGTTAATGTGTTTTAGAGAGTTCCAGAGGTTTTATTTGAACAAACACTTGTTTTTTTGTCAGAAACTTGAAGATTTCATTTTTCCCCCCTTTCATTCATGCAGTTCTTTTATTCTATGATACATTCTTTCATGAATTCTTTCAACATAATACATATTAATTACTTGCCCTGTGTCAGGTCTAAAATGGAGACAATAAAGAATTGTGTAGTAAATGTTAAGTGTTGTGAAGGTAAAGAATGGAACTCTGTGAGGAGAACTGGGGATGGGAGAGAAACTGCTAGTGGGGGGTATGCGATCGCATTACTACACCCCACCTGATTGTTGGTCAGTAGGCTCACCAACACTTAATGAATATTATCTCTTCATAGGTTTAGGACACTGCCTCCGTCATTTAAAAATTTTTATACACAAGTGTCATTTCTGTGCTGTTATTTGTGCCGTTGATCAAAGTATTGTTCAGTGTAAAACTTTTAATTATTGGATTTCTGTTCTGCATTAATATCTCTCAGGCTGTATGAATCAGAATTTTCTTGACCATCATTGCAGCTGGCCGTATTCATTTGAATGAAAGCATTCTTAAATTACAGAAATCTTGTTTTGATTTTGATTGGAATTTTGTTTTTCATATAATTGGGGAAAATACATATTTAAAGTTTCACATCATCTAAGGAAGGTAGCGTTTTTCCTCATTCATTTTTATCAGTTTTACTGTGGTAGAAGAACTATCCTTATCCAAAGTGTACAGTTTGATACATTTTGACCCCATATATACCTGAAATATCATTAAAATATGACAACAAATATGTCTGTCACACCTGAAGTTTTCTCAGTTCTTTTGGGACTCCATGGACTGTAGCTCACCAGGCTCCTCTGTCCATGGGTTTCTAGGGGAGATACTGGGATGAGCTGCCGTTTCCTTCTCAGGAGGGCTTCCTCACCCAGGGACCAAACCCGTGGCTCCTGCATTTGCAGGTGGGTTCTTTAGCTCTCAGCCACCTGGGAAGCAAGGTGGCTGGAGAAGAAAATGGCAACCCACTCCAGTATCCTTGCCTGGAGAACCCCATGGACAGTATGAAAAGGCTTAAAGATAGGATGCTGGAAGATGAGCCCCCACAGGTCAGAAGATGTCCAGTATGTTACTAGGGAAGAGTGGAGGGCTGTTACTAATAGCTCCAGAGAGAATGAAGCAGCTGGGCCAAAGCAGAAATGACACTCAGCTGCGGATGTGTCTGGTGGTAAAAGCAAAGTTCGAGCTATAAAGAACAATATTGCATAAGAACCTGGAATGTTAGCTCCAGGAATCAAGGCAAATTGTATGTGATCCAGGAGAAGATGGTAAGATTGAACATTGACATTTTAGGAATTTGAACTTTCAGATGACTATTATATCTACTCCTGTGGGCAAGAATCTGTAGAAGAAGTGGAGTAGCCCTCGTAGTCAACAAGAGAGTCTGAAATGCAATATTTGGGGTATAGTCTCAAAAAGAACAGAATGATCTCGGTTCGTTTCCAAGGCAGACCCTTCATCATCACAGTAATCCAAGTCTGTGCCCCAAATACTAACACCAAAGAAACTGAAGTTGACCAGTTCTATGAAGACCTATAATACTTTCTAGAACTAATAGCAGGAAAAGATACGGTTTTCATTGTAAGGAATTGGAATGCAGAAGTAGAAAGTCAAGAGATATCCGAACTAGCCAGCAGCTTTGGCCTTGGAGTACAAAATGAAGTATGTCCGTGGAATTCTCCAGGCAAGAAATTCTGGAGTGGGTAGCCATTTTCTTCTCCAGGGGATCTTCCCGACCCAAGGATCAAACTCAGATCTCCTGCATTGTGGGCAGATTCTTTACCACTTGAGCCACCAGGGAAGCCCCAAATGAAGCAGGACAAAGGCCAGCAAAATTTTATTAAGAGAACACACTGGTCACAGCAGACACCATTTTCCAACAACCCAAGAGATGACTCTACACATGGACATCACCAGATGGTCAATACCAAAATCATATTGATTGTTCTTTGCAGCCAAAGATGAAGAAGCTCAATATAGAAAGCAAAAACAAGACCTGAAGTGGACTGGCTCACATTATGAGCTCTTTATTGAAAAATTCAGGCTTAAATTGAAGTAGGGAAAAACCACTAGGCCATTCAGATATGACCTAAATCAAATCCCTTATGATTATGCAGTGAATGTGACAAATAGATTCGAGGGATTAGATCTGGTAGAGTGCCTGAAGAACTATGGATGGAAGTTCATAACACTGTGTAGGAAGCAGTGACCAAAGCCATCCCCAAGAGAAATAAAGAAGGCAAAGTGGTTGTCCAAGGAGGCTTTACAAATAACCTCAGGAAAGAAGAGAAGTTAAAGGCAAGGGAGAAAGGGAAAGATATACCCAGCTGACCACAGAGTTCCAGAGAATAGCAAAGAGTGATCAGAAGGCCTTCTTAAATGAACAATGCAGAAAAATAGAGGAAAGCAACAGAATGGGAAAGACTAGAGATCTCTTCAAGAAAATTGGAGAAATCAAGAGAACATTTCATTCAAGGATGGGCACGAGAAAGGGCATAAATGGTAAGCACCTCACAGAGGCAGAAGAGATTAAGAGGAGGTGGCAAGAATACACAGAACTATACAAAAAAGGTCCCAATGACCCAGATAACCATGACAGTGTAGTCACTCACCTAGAGCTGGACATCTTGGAGTGTACAGTCAAGTTACTATGAAGAAAGCTACTGGAGGTGAGGGAATTCCAGTTGAGCTATTTAAAATGCTGAAAGATGATGCTAGTAAATCATCTACACCAGTATGTCAGCAAACTTGGAAAATTCAGCAGTGGCCACAGGATTGAACGTTTAATTTTCATTCCAATTCCAAAAATGAACAATGCTGAAGAATGTTCAAACTACTATACAGTTGCTCTCATTTCACATGCTAGCAAGGTTATGCTCAAAACCCTTCAATCTAGGCTTCAGCTGTACTTGAACTGAGAACTTCCAGATGTACAGTCTGGCTTTCGAAGAGGCAGAGGAACTAGAGATCAAAATGCCAACATTTGTTGAATCATGGAGAAAGCCAGGATGTTTAGTTCTTGATAAACATCCACTTCTTCACTGACTATGCTGAAGCCTTTGTGTGGACCACAAAAAAACTATGGAAAATTCTTAAAGAGGTGGGAGTACCAGACCGCTTTACTTGTCTGCTGAGAAACTTGTGTGTGGGTCAAGAAACAACAGTTAAAACAACATATTGGTTCAAAATTAGGAAAGGAGTACAACAAAACTGTATGTTGTTATCCATTTTATTTAACTTATACACATAGTACATCATGTGAAATGCCAGGCTGGAATCAGGATTACTGGGAGAAATATCAGTAACCTCAGATATGCAGATGATAGCACTCTAAGAGTAGTAAGTGAACAGTAACTAAAGAGCCTCTTGATGAAGGTGAAAGAGGAGAGTGAAAAAGCTGGTTTGAAACTTAGCATTCAAAAAACTAAGATCATGGTATCTGGTCTCATCACTTCATGGCAGGTAGAAGGGGGAAGAGTGGAAGCAGTGACAAATTTTGTTTTCTTGGGCTCCAAAATCACTCTGGATGTTGGCTGTAACCATGAAATTAAAAGAGGCTTGCTCCTTGGAAGGAAAACTGTGACAGACCTAGCCAGCATATTATTAATAAAAAGCAGAGACATGACTTTGCTGACAAAGGTCTGTACAATCAAAGGTGTGGTTTTTCCAGTAACTACCTGCAGATGTGAAAGTTGGACCATAATGTAGGCTGAGCACCGAAGAATTGATGCTTTTGAGTTGTGGTGTTGGAGAAGACTGTAGAGAGCCCATTGCACTGCAAGGAGATCAATCTAATCAATCTTGAAGGAAATCAACCCTGAATATTCATTGAAAGGACTGTTGCTGAGGCTTCAGTATTCACTGTTGAAGAACAGACTTCAATTCTTTGGTCACCTGATGCAAAGCACCAACTCACTGGAAAAGACTCTGATGCTGGGAAAGATTGAAGGGGAAAGGAACAGGGGGCGGCAGAGAATGAGATGGTTAGATAGCATCACCAACTCAGTCACGAATTTGAGCAAGCTCTGGGAAATAGTTGAGGACAGAAGAGCCTGATGTGCTACATACAGTCCTTGTGGTCACAAAGAGTCAGACTCAACTTAGTGACTGAACAATAACAGTTTTCTCATGTATCTTTCTAACCTCTATTTCCTCAGTCAAATACTAATATGCTTACTGTTTCTATAGATAGTTCTGGATTTTCTAGAATTGTGTATGAATGGCATGATAAAGTGTATTTCCTTTGTCTAACTTACTTTTATTCAGTACACTTACTTTGAGGTTTGTCCACATTGCTGTATGTACCAATAATTCATTTTTATTGCTGGGTAGCATTCCATTGTACAGATAGCCCACAGTTTATCAATTCACTTGTTGATGTGTTGTTTCTGATTTGGGGTCTTGCAAATAAATCTGCTAACAACATTCATGTCCAAGTCTTTGTTCTGATGTTTTAATTTTTCTTGGGTAAGTACTCAGGAGTGGAATCCCTGGTCACATGCTAGGCATATGCTTAATTTTTCAGTAAATTACCAAGCAGTTTTCCAATGTGATTGTACTATTTTATTTCCCCATTAGCAGTGTATGAGAGTTCTAGTTACTCCACAGTCTTATCAACATTTGGTATTGTTAGTTTTTTAAACTTTAGACAGTCTACTGATACATGGTTGTACGCCATTGTGGATTTAATTTAATGTAAATAAGGGATTTGCATTTCCCTTATTTCTATACTGAACATCTTTTTGTGTGTTTATTTGCCATCTCTGTGTATCTTTGGTGAAGTGACTGCTTAAATTTTCACTCATTTTTTCATTTGGGTTTTTCGTTTTCATATTACTGAGTTTTGATAATTCTGTACATATTGTGGATGTTGTCAGATAATGTAATTTTTAAATGTTTTGTGCCATATCCTCTTTTTAGTCTCTTTTAACAGTGTCTTTCAAAGAGCAATAGTTCTTGGATTAAGGCCAGTTTATCAGGGTTTTCTTTTATGTCCTGTGCCTTTGATATCATACTGAAGATATTTTCCCCTAACCTATTGTCACAAAGATTTTCTCCTTGCTTTCTTTAGAAGTCTTTTCATTGCATTTTACACTTAGCTGTCTTGTCTGTTTCAAGTTAATTTTTATATATGGTGTGAGATAAAAATCAAGGTTTTAGCTTCATTTTTGTTTCTGGCATATGGTCATGCGGTTGTTCTGCCACGCTTGTTGAAGAGATTGGCTTTTACTCACTGCATTGCCTTTGCATCAGTTTTTCAAAAATTAGTTTGCCGTATGTGTGTGGGTTCATCTTTGAACTTTATTCTGTTGATTTGTATATGTTTATGTCAGTATTGCACTGTCTGGAAATCAGAGTAATATGAGACTTCTAATTTCTTTCTTAAAATTATTTTGGCAATTATAGATATTTTGCATTTCATTGCACATTTTAGAGTCAGCTGGTCAATTAAAAGAAACCCTGTTTGTTTTACTTGTATAATGTTGAATCTGTAGATCAGTTAAGGGTGACTGCACAATATTAAGTCTTTTAATCTATGAACATGATATATATATCTATTGATTAATTAGGTTTCAGTAATATTTGGTAGCTTAATATTGGTCTTGTGTGCCTTGTGTCAGATTTTTCCCATTATTTCATGTCTTTGATGTGGTATTGGTTTTTATATTAATTTCTCTTTGTTATATTATATAGAAATGTAGTTGATTTTTGTTTATATTGAAACTCTGCTAAATGCATTTTGTAGTTCTAGTTGCATTACATAGAACATAGGATGTGCTATATATAGAAAAGTTAATACTTTATGAATAAAGACAGTTTTACTTCTTCCTTTTTAATTTAGATGCCTTTTATATTTTTGTCTTGCTCTCTTGAACCGACTAGTCTGTTTACATGATTATTTGCATTAATTGATTTTCAAATATTAGACTAACCTTTCATTCTGAAGATAAACCCCACCTGGTCATGATTTGCTGTGTTCTGTGTTGTTGGGTTTGTTTTGCTAAGTCCATGAGAGAGAGAGGTCTGTTTTCCTGTAATGTCTGTTTTTACTGTCAGAGTAGTGCTGCCCTTACGGGGCTCCCCAGGTGGTGCAGTGGTGAAGAACCCTCCTGCCAGTTCAGGGGATGTAAGAGACACGGGTTTGATCCCTGGGTGGGAACGATGCCCTGGAGGAGGAAATGGCAGCCCACTCCAGCATTCTTGCCTGGAGAACCCCATGGACAGAGGAGCCTGGTGGGCCCCAGTTCATGGGGTTGCAGAGTCAGACTCGACTGTGCGACTGAGCACCCACACAGTGCTGGCATTATAGGTGAGCTGGAAAGTCATGATACTGTGTCTCCTCAGATATTTGGTAGAATTTCATACTGAAGATATTTGGGCCTGGAATTTTCTTTGTGGTAAAGTTTTTACAAATTCAGTTTCTTTAACAGACACAGGGTTCCTTGGGTTATCTATTGCTTTTTGAGTAAGTCTAAGTCTGACTAGAAGTTTGTCAGTTTTATTGATCTTAAAGTACCTGCTTTTGGTTTCTTTGTTTTTTCTCTATTTTATTTTTTCCTTTTTTTTTTTTTTTTTAATGCTCTTTGTTATTTTCCTTCTCTGGTCACTTTAATTTACTTTTTTCTAGTTCTGTTTCAGTAGAAGATGAGGTTCTTGATTTGCATCCTTTTGTAATGTTGGAAGATTGTATGGCTTTAACTACCTTCTACAGATTTTAGTATATTTTCATTTCCATTCAGTTCAAAATACTTTGTTTTAATATTATCTTTGTGTCATGAGTTGTTTTAATTTCCATATATTTTTCTGAAGTTGTTTTCCACTTTCATTTCATTTTGATCCTGTAACAATAATTTATATGCTGAGTTATTTTAAATTTATTGAGACTTTGGTGTCCCTATTTCTGCCTCCTTTCCCCATCCCTGTGATCCTTTTTTCTTGGTAATTTTATAAATTATTTCTTGTACAGTAATTTTTGTGTTTGGTTTATACATTATGTTGAGGGTTGTTTCTTTATTGCAAGTCCCAGCAGAACGTTCCAGGTGTGTCTGTTTTTGGTTAATCCCTGATTTTTAAGGTGATACTTGGTAAGTCATTTAACTCTTTTGTTGCCTGTTGAGGAGCTAAAGGCCAGGAAGAGGGAGGTGCTAATAGTTGTTGTAAAGTGTCAAGTATTAAAACACCAAATAAACAGAAAAGCATTAGTTTTGTCTCCAAGGTAAAAGGTATTACTTTGTTATTTCACCTTTGAGCAAAGCCATGCAATTACGTTTCTGTTCTTCTTACTTGGTTTATAGGCTTTTTATGGAAATTCTCAATGACTGTACTGATGTGGATGAGATCAAATTCCAAGAAGATGGTTCTTGGTGTCCAATGAGACCGAAGAAAGAAGCTATGAAAGTATCCAGCCAACCATGTCCAAAAATAGAAAGTATGTGCAGAATGGCCGCAGAGAGCAAAGCAGTGAGACTCGTGTGTTGTTATCTGTAGCATTAACCTTGGCCATTAGAACTACTGTTAGGAGTTCAGTGTGCTCAATTTACCTTTTGATCATTACACATCTTATTTCTCCCAAATGGTTTTTCTTCTTAAGACATGTGCAGAGGTTTATGCCATATTATAATCAGTCTTTTCATAGTATATTTTCCATATATAAAGTAAATAACCATCTAAATTGTCTTATTATTTTTTACTGAAGTATAATCACTGTACAATATTATCAAAGTTAAAGGGGTACAGTATAGTGACTGACAGTTTTTAAAGGTTATACTCCATTTATAGTTAGTTGTGAAATACTGGCTGTATTCCCTGTGTTGTACGACGTATCCTGGTAGCTTATCCTGAACCTGACGGCTGGACCTCCTGCTTCCCCAGCCCGCTCGTGCCCCTCTTCTCTTCCCTCTTCCCGCTTGCAGCCACTAATCTGTTCTCTGTATCTGTGAGTGTGCTGCTTTTTTGTTATATTCACTAGTTACTTTTTTTAGATTCCACATATAAGTGATTTCATATAGTATTTGTCTCTGATTTTTTTTTCACTTTAGCCTCATGCTGTTCAAGTTCATCCATGTTGGTGCAAGTGACAAAATTTTTTTCTGTTTTTAATGTCCGTGTGTGTTTGTGTGTGTATGTGTGTAGGTACACACCATACCTTCTTTATCCATTCATCTGTTGATGGACACTTAGGTTGCTTCCATATCTTGGCAGTTGTAAATAATGCTATTATGAGCTTTGGGGTGCATGTATCTTTTTGAATTAGTGTTTTTGTTTTTGTTCTTCAGTATATACCCCAGAGTGGAATTGCTGGGTCATGTGGTAGTTCTGTTTTTAGTGTTTTGATAAACTGCCGTATTGTTTCCCATTGTGGCTGCACCAATTTACATTCCTACCAACAATAATCAAGAGTTACCTTTTCTCCATATCCTCACCAATATATTGCCTGTAGTCCTTAGAATCATCTTAATATGTGGTGCTTGTTACAACATGAAAATTTATAAGTGACATTTCTGTGGATAGTTTTCCAGAATTGTTTTTAGAGTATCTGTAGGAGGAACCCCAAGTAGACATGTGGTTAGAGAGGCTGCATTTTCCATTAATGGAGAGTAGGGAAAGATGATCATAGGTTAGTTGGTTAAAAAAGAAAAAGGTAGTTTAAAGCTCATTGCTTTGTGGGAAGAAATATGAGCCTGAGTTACTTAGCTCAGCCTTCAGCTGCCTGTGATGTCCATGCTGAATGGGGAAATTTAGGGCCATCTGAGAAATTGAAACCTGTAGGTAAACCTAGTTTCTTTTTATCTGACATAGTCCACTCACTGAATTTTGTGCTGACTGTGTTTCACATTCTGACAGTGTAATGAACAATAGGTGTTCAGAGCAGGAAGAGAGGAAAAAGTAAAGGATTTATGTCAATATTAATCATTCTCCTGTGTTGTTACTGAACCTGTGGGAATGATCAAGGTTTCCCTCAATATGTGAGAAAAATAGTGATTTAATTAGTTGCTACTGCTTTTCCATTATCAAGTAGCATGTATTTTCTACTAAGTAGATTGTTTTTCTTTGAAATAGTGAGTTAACATATCGTGTAAGACTATGGAAATGGGGAGAAAGGAGAACCTAAGTAGGTAATTGGTAAGAAAAACTTTGAATGTCTGAGTAACTTGTTAAAGTGAGATAGTTGGGGTTTTTTTCAACTGATATTATCAAGGTGAACATTTTATCCAGTTCTGGCTTGGGGTGAAGAGCTTATGTATTCTTAGATATAAGCACCACTGCTTTGTTAGAATGGAAGTGTCTGATTCTGACTTAATACTACCACGTCTGTGAGACTACACAGCCAGTAAAGCCACATACTCTTGTCTACGGCCAGAGACCAGCCCCTTAAGTCCAGATGTCTGTCTATAATGTGAGTCCTCACCGGGGGAGATAGTATGAGGAGCAGGATCTGCACAGATCTACTGGCAGTCCTGGGGAGATAACTCGGCAGGTGCTCTCTGAAAGAGGTTTTGGTCTTCTCACAAGGGATAGTGCTCCCTGTCTTCTAGGTAAGCAGTTGTTTTATAGATGGATATCTGAAGTTAGAGAGTTAGTCTCTGTCCATGGGACAGAGTATGGACTTTATGGGCTGTGTATTCTCCAGGACATGCTATGCAGTTTAAAACTTATGGCTGGAGCTTGTGTTACACCTCTCACTTTTTCCCCCACTCTGTTCCCTCCATGTAGCTGCAGCTGTCCTCAGTAAGCCTTGTGCAGTGACTGTAGCCAATGAGGCAAGCAAGAAGAAAGTGGATGTCATTGACCTAACAGTAGAAAGCTCTTCTGATGAAGAGGAAGGCCCTCCTGCCAAAAGGAAATGCATCTTTATGTCAGAAACACAAAGCAGCCCAACCAAAGGGTTTGTGAATTTATAGTTCACTATTGTTTATTACACTTGGAACTAACCGTTCTTGGGTTAGGTTTGTAAATGGCTCTTGGAGAGTGGCATAACCATAGAGGGCCACTTTAATTTGTGTTCTGTTCAGTTGAAATATTTTCAAATGAGCATGTTGTTCACGGGAAAGCAAATTTTGATGAAGAAGATACTCCCATCTTTGGGAAGTGAGGATTGATATCTTCTCATGTCTAAATATTTCATATTGAACACTTTCTATTATTTTCTTGACTTTCTTTGTAAGGAGTAAATTTGGCATCACAGACCACTGTGAGGAAGTGGAGTGTGTGGAGTGTGTAATTGGCAATCTGACCAGTGTGGATTCTAATTTTGACACCATTGCTTACTTGTTCTGTGATCTTGGATGAGATATTTAACTTCTTTGAGCCTCCTTTTCCTGTTCTGTAAAATGGGGTTAAATAATGCCTACCTCATAAGGTTATATTCAGGTTTCAATAAGATAATGCAAGAGCTCAGCCTGATTCAGGCCCATGGTAATTTTCTCAATAAAAAATGATTGCCTTCCCTTCTCACCCTCTCCAAGGCACAGTGTGGGCAAGTAAATGTGGTCTAGCATTTATTTGTAAGGCATCTGGCAGAAGCTGTTGCTGACATAGTAAGTGACAGGTTTAAGTAATTCGCAATAGATACTTCTGAGAGATTTTGGAACCTGCAGCAAAGTAGCAGAGGGTTCTGTCGACATCCCATGAGCATATTATTTCAAAGTTGGGTGTGCCAGTCTTATCTTTTGACCTCTCATTGCACTTCTTTTCTCTAATGGCTTTTTGGGGTATAATTTACATATCATAAAATCCCACATCTGAAGTCTTGAGTTGCACACTTCAGCGGTTTTAGTAAATTCATAGATACGCAGTTATCATCACAACTCAGTTGTAGAATATTATCAACACCCAGCAAACATCTTTCACGTTCGTTTGAGTTAATCCCCATGCACACTCCAGTAGGCAACCATTGATCTTCTTTTTATTGCTATCAATTTGCCTTCTCTAGGCATTTTATACAAGTGGAGTTATATTCTCGGTGCACTTTTGAAACATTCCTTTTTTACAGTTACCTTTGAAACCAGGAGAATTAAAGCTTTCTGTGCTGCCTTCTTCACTTAAAATACTTGTATTTCCAGATGTGATTTCCACATCACAGTGAGAATGCATTTTTTTTCTTAGTGGAACTGAAAATGAAATAAGTATTTCAACTGGGATTTTTTCTGGGATGCTGATCATTTATGGTTTCTTTCAGACAATGTGGTTGGCACTTCTAGAATTTAAAGACTTCCCTGGTGGCTCAGATGGTAAAGTGTCTGCCTACAATGCGGGAGGCCCGGGTTCAATCCCTGGGTCGGGAAGATCCCCTGGAGAAGGAAATGGCAACCCACTCCAGTACTCTTGCCTGGAAAATCCCATGGACTGAGGAGCCTGGTGGGCTACAGTCCAGGGGGTCGCAAATAGAGTCAGACACGACTGAGTGACTTCAGTGTCAGTGTCTAGAATTTAATGATAAAAAATGAAAATAGAGTTTTGAAATGTTTACTGGCTTATATGTGATATTTCCAGAGTTTACTCTCTAATGAAATGCTTTAGCAATGCTGGGGAAATGTAGGTTGCACAGTATTACATATATAGTTAAATGGAGTCACACTAGGCTGAAGGGTCACTGTCCTCTTGGAGGGTATCTCTGGTGGCTCACCGTAAGGGTCATCTGAGATGAGCTCACCTTGCTGAGGAGTCAGGACAGTTCACACCTGTGATCAGCTACCACAGAGAGAGATGTTGAGTCTCATCTAGGTTAAAAAGAAAAAAACCTAACATTTAGAGTATAAGGTGAAAATTTGTGACTAAATTAGCAACACTTGAAAAGTTTGGTTTAAATTGTTTGTAAAGTGCAGCTACCCTGCTCATCCCACGAAGCTGGCATAATTCTTAATACCCAAACTTGACTTACATGTTAACAAGCAAACAGGAAAACTGTTATGAAACAGGCTTACATTAGAAAGGTCAATGAAAATTCTGAATTCAATCTTAGTAAATTATTTAATAATATATTAAAATGGCATCCTTGAATACCAAGTAGAGTTTATCCAAGAATGCTTTATAATTAGGAAATACATTGATAAAATGGATCTTGTCATAGACAACTAAGCCCTCCACATCTGTGGATTCTGGCAACTGTGGATCGTCACAAATGGCTAGAGGAAAATATTTTTTTTTAAAGTTTCCAAAAACAGGAACTATTTCACATAGCATTTGCATTGTATTAGATATTATAAGGTATAAGGTAATCTAGAGATGAATTAACTTATGGATGGAGGATGTGCAAACACTATAGTATTTTAGGTAAGGGACTTCAGGATCTGTAAATTTTGGTGTCCTTTTGGGGAGAGGGTCCTTACACCCAGTCTGCTGTGAATACTGAGGGACGACTGTATATCATCATCTTAATAGATGATGGCCTTCTGTAAATTAACACACACTTAGAAGCTCTCTGAAGTGTCAGAATTCACTTAATGGCTTACCACTTGAGCTGATTTGTTCTTAGATTGCATTAATAAAAGGAGCAGTATCCAGGATACATACCCATGCCAGTTCTATTCCGTTTTAGGCTGAATGACTTTCACTTAGACCGTTTTAGTCAGGGCTTTCATCAAGAAGGGTATTCATGAGAGCAGCCAGAGGAGGGAAAGAGGATGGTGAATGGTGGAAACTAGCCTGATGGATGAGTGGGTCTAAGGACTGAAGCTGTGAAGCCAAGAGAAGAGAAAATGTGATATTTACCTTGTAGGTCTTGAACGGGAGTCACTGATCAACTGGGTTGGGTTTATTCTTTCTTATAGCATTTGGCAGATACAAGGCCAGTAGAGGGATGATACATGAAAACTTTGCATTGGAGTTTCCTGAACGCTAAGAACGTTGGTTTTGTGTTAAAATCACATTTTCTGTGTTAGGGTAGAGTGGATGCCACTTGTGCAGGCGTTACAGTGGAGACCATACTGTTACTATTTCATCTGTGTAATCCCTTCCAACTCTTAGATTTTTTTCTTTTTTTCTGGTTTTGTGTCTGGTCATTCTTTTCATGTCCTCCCTCTTGTGTCAGCATCTGGAAATTTTCCCTAAGTTGTAAATGTATCATAGGGCTTCTTAGTGTTAGTAAGCAAATGGGGAATAGAGGGAAAATAAGACTTTTAGAAAACCTCTGGTGTTTTTCTAAATTAATGGATAATTTAAAAATATAATGTCTCTAACCCATGCATTGGAAATTGAATGATTGCTTTGTCATTAATAAAGAGGTATTCTCAAGACAGGAAACCAAGATTAGAGATAGATTAAGAATCATTGCATCCCTGAAATTAAAAGATGCCGACTCCTTGGAAGGAAAGTTATGACCAACCTAGATAGCATATTAAAAAGCAGAGACATTACTTTGCCAACAAAGGTCTGTCTAGTCAAGGCTATAGTTTTTCCAGTGGTCATGTATGGATGTGAGAGTTGGACTGAGAGGAAAGCTGAGCGCTGAAGAATTGATGGTTTTGAACTGTGGTGTTGGAAAAGACTCTTGAGAGCCCTTTGGACTGCAAGGAGATCCAACCAGTCCATCCTAAAGGAGATCAGTCCTGGGTGTTCATTGGAAGGACTGATGCTGAAGCTGAAACTCCAATACTTTGGCCACCTCATATGAAGAGTTGACTTATCGGAAAAGACCCTGATGCTGGGAGGGATTGGGGGCAGGAGGAGAAGGGGATGACAGAGGATGAGATGGCTGGATGGCATCACCGACTGGATGGACATGAGTTTGAGTAAACTCTGGGAGTTGGTGATGGACAAAGTGGCCTGGCATGCTGCGATTCATGGGGTCGAAAATAGTCAGACACGACGGAGCAACTGAACTGAACTGAAGAGTCTTTTGGAATTGGTAGCAGAATTGAATCTTTTAAAATATTTTTATGATCATAAAATGGGAACACCTGGTGAATTTCAGGTTTATAGATAAAAATTCAAGTATTGAAATTTCAGACATCTAAGTCTGGGCCAAGTATGATGAATTTAGTGACCTAATACTCTATAATACTAATATTTGCTATCTCGCAGTATGCCAGAACTTTCCTTTTGTGCTGTGGAATTATGCTGTTGTTCAGTCACTAATTCATGTCTGATTCTTTGAAACCCCGTGGACTGCAGCATGCCAGGCTTCCTTGACCTTCAGTATCTCCTGGAGTTTGCTCAAACTCATGTCCATTGAGTAGATAATACTCTTCACATCAGGTGTCCAAAATACTGGAGCTTTAGCATCAGTCCTTCCAATGAATATTCAGGGTTGATCTTGTTTAGGATTGACTGGTTGGATCTCCTTGCCGTCCAAGGGACTCTCAAGAGTCTTCTCCAACACCACAGTTCAAAAGCATCAGTTCTTTGGCACTCAGCCTTTATGGTCCAACAGTCACCTCTGTGCGTGACCACTGGAAAAACTGTAGCTTTGACTGTACCGACCTTTGTCAGCAAAATGATGCCTCTTCTTTTTCATTAGTAAGGTGCTGTCTGGTGTCGCTGACAGAGATAGAGCTGGCTTGAGGACAAGGCTAATGACTCTGTTTAAATATGATGAACTGAAGGTGACAGTGAAGAACCTGTAACATTTCCAGCTATGTATTAACGGTGTGGCTTTGGGAATTCTCTAAGCTCAGTTTTCTCATCTGTAAAATAGAAATAATAATAATGTGCAACTCATTAAGTTGTTATGAGGATTGAATGAAATAATGGTAGTGACAGTACTCACTAAGGCATTGGAAAATGACATATTTTGGCCATTGTTATTATTCATCTTATATATGACAAACTGCCCAATAAATCCTTTTTGTTACATGAAAACAAAAAACAGACAAAAAATAACATGCTGTCTAGGTTTGTCATAGCTTTCCTTCCAAGGAGCAAACATCTTTTAATTTCATGTCTACAGTCACCGTCTGCAGTGATTTTGGAACCCAAGAAAATAAAATCTTTCACTGTGTCCACGTCTGTTTGCCATGAAGTGATGGGACCAGATGCCACGATCTTAGTTTTTTGAAAGTCGAGTTTTAAGCCAACCTTTTCACTGATACTATGCATAAAGCTATAAAAATTTATATGTGTACATAATACATAATGTACATATAGGCCTGTGTGTGTATTTGCCAGTCCTATGAGGAGGGAGTAACAAAAGCTTTAAAAAGTGTTTTTATTATTTTATAGCATCACATACTTACACCCACAATTCCACCAGACATAGCCATTTAGATTTCGCCATGGTTCCTATTCCATATCTATAAATACATCTGTTTTTGCACAGGCATTAAAGTTGTTTACCTTTCCGAATGTGACCTTTGTGATGCTTCTGATTGAGACAAAAATCTGCTACCAGTAGGTAATTTGATAATCCTAACAAATGGTGAATTTTACCCATTCTATATAAAGTTGAATTTGTGTTAATGTTACAAAGTTCAGGCAATCGGATTTAACTTACACTAAATTGTTTAATTTTTCAGATAGTTGTTGAGATTGTAGATGCTGATTTAATAATTTGTACTGTCACTGGATTGTGACATTTTCACATGATGTGGTAGCATTTTATATCGATGAAACAAGGAATAGCTAATCACTCAAGAGTTTTATGAGAGCTGAAGATGTGCAGTGGTCAAGGGTTACTATGGTGATGAGTACATTGCGACATTGACCTCACTTCTGTGCAGGTTTCAGGAAAGGGCCAGGGTGGGAGAGTGAGTGGTGTTGTTTTCTGTGAATCTGATCCAGATTGAAAGGTCTGTTGAGGATCAAGAGAAAAGACAGTCTCCAGTGTGAGATAATCAGAGCCACTTTTTACGCCCCCTTGTGAGTACTAATATATGCCAGTCTCAATTTCCTTCTTGTTCCCATGACCCCATGCCCCAGTTTCTGATACACATTCCTGTGTGGGAGGTAGGGTCATGTGTAATTTGGAAACACTGCTGGTGATTTCCTATTCTACTTTTATCCTTGTAGAGGACCAGTGTCTTCAGACTTCCAGAAGAAGATGTGCTTTAATATAACATACATACTTGAGCTATCTCAGGTTTTCTCCTTCCCCCTCCAGAGCCCACCTTTGTGGTTTTAGATTGCCAGGTAACACTGGCATCCAAGAAGCCTCCTGATTCTGACTGAGGCAGGTTGCTCTTTTTGTCCATCTTCACCTACATCTGGAAAATGTGTTTTGAAATACTTAGCTTATGTTATTATCTCAAGCATACTATATTTCCTGTAATTCCCAAATAGATGAGTCTAAGTTCACTTGCTTTTCTGGGTCTAGCAGTTGCCAACACAGCCACGTAAATCCTCTCAAGATGACTTTGTTTTCCTCCTTTCCAATTACATCTGTAGTTTTGAAAAATAGTACAGAATAACAGGGCTTCCCAGGTGGCTCAGTGGTGAAGAATCCTCCTGCTGATGCAGAAGCTGCCGGAGACGCTGGTTTGATCCCTGGGTGGGGAAGATCCCCTGGAAGAGGAAATGGCAATCTACTCCAGAATTCATGCCTGGGAAATCCAATGGACCAGAGGAGCTTGGTGGGCTACAGTCCATGGGGTCTCAGAGTCAGACATGACCTAACGACTGATCATATACATGCACGTGCTGTTTGTTATCATTTGTGCGTTATCTTTGTAGTGGTCCCTTCCAGCTATGGAGATTGTACCCCTCTCATTGGGCTCACAGCAGTTTACTGGTGGTGCTTTGGAATGCTGACCTTAATGTCCTAATGACCTCATGTCCATGTGTCCCCGTCCCCTACTCTTCTTTTTTTCCCGTCAAATTTTAAGGTTTTATTTTTCAAAATGTACAGTGGTGGGACCTGTCTGTGCATCTTTACTGGAAGCTGGGGCATCTTCACCTTTGGTGTTTCTGGTTTAAATTACTTGTACTCTGTGCTCTGAAACCACTTTCGTGGGTGCTTTACTGAGTAGCTCTTGAAGGGCTGTCCTGGCCAAGGAGCTGTGAGCCTTCAGTTTCTCAGAGACGACAGCTGAGGTTTTAAGCTTGTAGTCAGGAACTGACTCACTGGAGAAGACCCTGGTGCTGGGAAAGTTTGAGGGCCGGAGGAGAAGGGACGACAGAGGCTGAGGTGGTTGGATGGCATCACCAGCTCAATGGACTTGGGTTTGGGTGGACTCCGGGAGTTGGTGATGGACAGGGAGGCCTGGCGTGCTGCAGTTCATGGGGTCGCACAGAGTCAGACACGACTGAGCGACTGGACTGAACTGAGGCAGGAAGTCCCTTAGTCTGGCGTATGTGGCTTTGTCAGGCAAGAGTTGGTTATTGAGCTTGTCCCATATTTTGCCTTTGGCCTTGCCCCCAGGCTTGTTCACTGGATGTCTTTCTTGGCTGGCTTTCTGGCATCGACTTTTTCTTGTCATCCTTGGGTGGCATCTCAGAGATTGGAGAGCAGCTACTACCCCTGCAGCCGCACTGAGATGTTGGACAGAAAGATAGTCATCAGCCAGAGGGTCCGTGATGTTGCTTAGTTTCTTATATATATATATGTATTTAAGATGTTTTCTTGAGGACTTCTAATCATTTACTCTGGACTAAGATGTAATGAATATTAAGTGGCAAGAATGCAAAATCATTTCTCTTTTTTCCTGAACTTCTTCAAAAATATGTTTAACCATATTGCTTCTTAAAATTATAAAGTAATTATAGTATATATATACAGTGTGTATACATATATGTATAAAGACCAATAATAAAGTGTATCTTAAGTATATTTAATTTGTGTTTTTAGTGGCATGAACAGTGAATTTCAAAGTCATAGCCCTTGTAAAAGAGTAGATGGTATCATGGTAGCTAGTGTGTCTTAAATCCTGAATGTTTTATTCTTAATCTACTTTATTTTCTCATTGCTACCAGTTTTTATCAGACTGTCTGGCTTTAGGACTGTCTTTACTCAGGTGATTCCCAGATAAGAGTGCTAATAATTAACACGATTCATGTTACAATGGAAGGAATTATGGTTGAGCTATAGTTAGTAAGGAAGAAGCTTTACTCATAAAGGTAACCTGATTTAAAACAAATTTTAGGAGTCTTCTATTTTATTTCTAAATTTCTTTATATATAACTTACTAATATCACATGCATGTTACACATACATTAATAAAAGCAGTGTGTAGCGTATATTCCTATTTGTGGTTCAGAGTTCTCTGTTTTGCTCCAGCCATGTTCTTTATGTTTTAGTGCCACCTTGCTCTTATGTCACAGCTGTTATTGAGAGGCAACATATGTTCATGTTAAAGTGAAGACTGTTATGAAAGGAGAGTGAGTGGAGTTCTGTGTAGTGAGTAGCTGCCATATAGTTGTTTTGAAGCTTAGTGAGCTTACGATTGAGAATGCCCGGTAGTACAGCCCTTCTCTCCTGTGAACTAACAGCCAGATTGTTTGTAATTTCCCGTGCTATTTAAAACAGGGTTCTCATGTATCAGCCATCTTCTGTAAGGGTGCCCAGTGTGACTTCGGTTGATCCTGCTGCTATTCCGCCTTCATTAACAGACTACTCAGTACCATTCCACCACACGCCAATCTCAAGCATGTCCTCAGATCTGCCAGGTATGTGAAGAGTTGTTTTGTTTTTTACCAAGTTTTTTTTTTTTTTTTTACCATTTATTTTTTTAATCTTAATCTGTGAAGCAAATATAATTTCAGTGTCATAAATAGAAATGCAAAGGAAATTGCTAAGAAAAGAGTTCCTGTGAAGGTGATGCCTGTTTTAAATAGTAATCATGTTCAGTTGCTCTCATTTTAACTACTGAGCAATCTGTAGATTTTGTTGGGAGGAGATAGACTAGGGTAGTGGGAAATTTTTACAGAATTTATTCTCCTGCATAGAGAATGTACCACAGAGAGACTTTTTCTTGGTTTATTTTTCATGGGTGCTTCACAGGTTAGGGAGAATGTTTTCTCATACTTTCCTTTTCTAAAAGCGCATCACTTCTTGGTAGCCCATCACAACTGCAGAATGTACTTGTGTACTGTGAGGTCAGATTGCCTACCAGCTTTACGTTGTAAAAATAGGATCTGCCTGCTCTTTTTCCATAGTACTCCTGAGTATTTAGGGTTATCCTTTAAATAAAATTTTTTTTTTAATTGGAGGATAATTGCTTTACAATGTTGTGTTGGTTTAGGGATATCCTTTATATATATATTAACAGTTAAAAACTTCATGGCTGCCTGAGTTACCTTAGTATCAAGTTTTTTCATAGAGCAAATTGGCACAAGTTTAGAAGCAGTGACGACTAGACTTCCCTTCTCTCTGAAGGGCCCTTTTATTGAAATTCAGTTACCTCCTCCTGTTATTAGTTTCCTTTTCTGGATTTAGGAAGTTAATTTTGACCTGTGATTTATTCTTCTTGGCCCTCTTAGTAAGGTCTTTATTTTAAGCACAATATATATTAAATTGGGTAAAATTTGTGTTGTTGGAACAGTTGATAGTTGTGTAATCTGGTCATGTGTAATTTTGTCACTTGAAACTTGTTCAGATTTATTCAGTTTGAATATAATTTATTGGAAAAGAGTAGACTAAAAATAGTGTCCGTCAAAAAAAATGTTAAAAGCTTTTTGGTTCTTTGATATATCTCTTTCACATGTTCTTTGGGAATTGGTTATTAAAAAAAAAAAAAAAAACTGTTTGTAAACCCAGCCAGCACCAGTTACAGAGTCATTGCTGATACAAAGCTTGATCTTGAGTTACAGGTGAAGTTTCATGGTCTATAAGAAAGAGGGAAAGTCAGAGTCTTAATTCCCAACTGCCATGTTTGTTTTAATTGTGGCTAGTTTTAAATGAAGTTGAAAGGTTTCCACATGTCATCTTAGTATGTGTTATAAATAAGCATTCCAGAAGCATTCATTTCCTGAGGATCTTGAATTAAAAATTAATCCTGAGAAAAAGGATAATGAACATTCTCTGTTTACTAAGTGACTCTGGCCATTTAGCAATAGAATAGATACAATGTACAAATCACTTGTTCTGTTAGTTTTTGAATTGTGTGATTTTGGATGAATTTTTAATTTCAGAGAATTTGTATTTCAAAATTTGGGCATAAAGTCAGACTATTTACTTTATAAAATGTACACATTTGAGAAAAATGCAATAAAATACGTTAATTGTGTATTTCATAAAATACATTTCAAGCTGGTAAGAACTAAGACTATTATCCAGGACTGATATTTAGCCATTATAAGCTAGTATAGTGATACTGATTATTAAAATGTTAAAAGACTTTATTAGTTGATAAACAGAATAGAATAGGATCTATTGTACTTTAGAAGCATTACCAATTTACTGTCATTTATGAATTCTGTAGTAGTATCTTGATCTAAATAGTTTAGTTTTTATTTGGGTTTTACTGTTAATATGCTCTTTTGTAATTAGTAATTACTTTGGGGATTTTTTGTGCATAATTTTTATGTAATTAGTCATACTGTACAGTTTTGATATAAGTTTAATAATTTATAATAAAATATTAAATAGAATACTAGAATTGAGAGATGACAAACTCTTAATACATTTCTTAACATTCCTTTTAAACATCATAAACATGAATCTTCTGAATCTGCAGGAGAACAGAGAAGAAATGATATTAATAATGAACTGCAGCTTGGAACATCTTCTGATACTGTGCAACAGTGAATGCAAAAATAAAACATAATTTGTATTTGTGGAATGGAAAACAGCTTGATTATTTCACGAAAAGATATGACTGCCTTACTATTGCTAGTGCCATATTGTCAGGTGTGAATGGTGCTCAAAAGTTGTATCATTAAAATTTGAAAGTGCTAAACATTTACATACTTAATCATGTAGCAGTTATGTTTTGTTAAACTTCATGGCTCAAGTAAGTAAAATGTGTTGTTATTAATAAGACATATAGAGTCAGTTTCACATGAAGAAGCATTTAAAATCTAAAAACTACAGATTTATCAGTATTGAGAAAAGCATTTAGAATGTACCATCATAATTTTTAAAACTACCTGCTTTTTTAGTTAAAGATAATTATGAAATACTTAAGAGTGAAAACACGATACAACATATCATTGCAGTTCAAACTTATGGTGAAATAAGAACAGCATATTACTGAACTTTTATAAAATATTAAGGCAATAATGTTTTAATCACTATTCATGAAGCTTCATCCGTTTCATGTAAGAGTTTTCATAGTCTATACTTACAAAGTAGAATTATAAGACATTGTTGATAATAGTTTTTTAATAGAAGGAATAACATCTGAAATACTGTGTCAAGCTTCAGTGTTACTGTTGGAGAGAAAATGGTTTCAGTGAGAAATATTTACATTGAAACATTACTGAATTTTGTGTAGACAGCATCTGTATAATACAGCTAGGGAGATACAGTGGGTTTCAACCAAAATTTCAGAAAAATTTCTGGATACTTTAAATTATTATGGCGTTGTATAAGTTATCATATTCAGTTATCCCTGGATGAGATATCAAAAGATATAGATCAGTTAAATCTCTTAAAATATTTTATCAATAGACTGTTAGCACACCTGAAATGATCATCCAATAATAGAAATGCTGAATATATAAAACTTTCAGATGATATAAGGGCTGGACAGATTTTGAATTACAGTTCAGCTGCAGGAGAGAGAGAGGATTTACTCAGCAGTATTATTACTGTGAAGAGAAACTCTCTTACTGAAGTACATCACCTCCTTAGTATCACTTTAATGGGGAACTCTTTGGAAAAGTTGGTTATGATTCCCTTTGTCCAGTGGTGGCTCAAATCTTGTATCTTATAGCTAGTGATAGGCATAAGAAATGACAAGTCATGTCAGCAGTTTTCAAAAATCATTTAGAAATTGAATGACTTCTTTCCAATGATTGGTGCTACAGCTTGTATTATTCAATAAGTATTATCATTATACCCTTATTTAGAGATTATAAGGGAATAACTTACTTAAACATCTGATTTATCAGTTATATTCACACAGATTATTAAATATTTTAAATATCATTTCCCACTAATATTCTCTATTTAGACTAACAGTCCAGTATCATAGTATACTCTGTTACGATTGCTGTACTTGAGGTGATGTTGAATACCAGGATATAAAAATTCATAGAATAAATAGAAATTGGCCTTAGTAATCTTATACTTTATATGATTTTTTTTTAATGTTTTAGAAATTAGTCAAACAGGTCTAGGGGAACTGACCTTGAAGTTTATTGTTAGACTTTTCAGATGTGAAGATTTTATTATTTATTGTTATAACTTGAATATATCAAAACAGTATTACTGGGCAACCTTTTGTCACTTTCCTATTTCTAAAGTATAATTGGAGGATCCCAAATCTTTAGAAAACTGCATTAGCTTATAACCCAGTACACGCTGGCAAGATTTAGCTTGTTTAGTAAGCAGCAGCTATGAAGTGCTTGCTTTATGCAGCATGTTGAACTGTGTACTACTCCTTTTGTTGTGGGAACTGGGGGACAGAGAGCTGTCCGTGAAATAGACATTTATTTGTTTAAGAAGTGATATTTTAGATGAAGCTTAATGTGTATTTCTAAAAAATAAATGTGAAGTGTCTTAAGAGGCTAAGCATGTTTTTTTTAATGTCTCAATCCAGATGATCATCTCTTCATTTTTTTGCTTCTCATTCTGCTAAGTGAAAATTTGCTTTGACTAGTTCTATTTAAATTTTGGACTCCTCTACCCCTTTTAAGCCTCTGGGGATGGTTTTTCCAGTTGTTTTGTCAAGTCATATGTACATTTTTGGGTTTTATACACATAAATATCCTGAAATATCCTGATTGTGGTAGACCTTCCCTACAGCAGAATGGTAAGGACTTAACCCAAATGTTCTATGACTTAAATAAAAAATGATTTGGGGAAATAATTCTTGTCTCCAAAATATGAGACAACTATTAACAGAACATTTTTGTTTTAGGTTTGGATTTTCTTTCCCTTATTCCAGTTGATCCCCAGGTATGTATCCTGAATTTAAGCAACTAATTTGTATTGGATTGTTGGTTGTGTCACTAACTAAAAATGACCAGTTGCATAAAATCAGGACAGTCAACTCTCAGTTACTTAAATTGATGGAAAGAAAGTACTTCTATAAATATTTCACAATTTTACTTGGAGGCATGACGTTTATGATATTTTGACCTTTACTACTAGCATTGTAAATTATTTTTTGTTTAGTTTAATATAATCATTTGGCATTTCTTAACAAGCATTTGAGTGATTAAAATGAGGGGAAGCAGTGCTGGAGGACTGGAAATGTTGAAACTTTATAGAGAGAATTTGTAAAACACTTGTTCTGTACATAGAAGATGGCTGAAGCTGATTAAACAAATTGAATCATTAGCTTGATTCTTCGTAGTTCTTAAAGACAGTCAAATTCAGACTTTGAAGAAGCCCTCACCTAAACTTGCTATAAACCAGCCATTCGTGTTTTCTCTGTTGGGGATAAGAAACTAGTATTCCAGTGTCCCGCCATGAAGACCTTGCATGAGCACAGACTCCACTGATAGGCTAATAGCAGAGGAGGAGAAGGCACAAGGAAAGCTGATGGGAAAAGCAGACAGAGAAGGAGACTTTGAGAGAGGTGTTGAGAGTAGGGGCGGATAGAGAAAGAACCGCGGATCGTTGCTTTTGTAGGCCTTTCAGAGTCAGCTCACCACAGGTTGTGTATCAGCTTCCTGGCTTAATACTCTGTTTGATCACACAAACAGTACTGGAAGTTTGGGCCCAAGGTGACAGGCACAAAAAGAGAAGTTTCTTTTCACCCTAAATTGACTTCGTTACATCAGTAGATTCTATAGCAAAATATCTATGTATTTTTCTAGGAGATAGATTCTTCAGGATTGAAGTATTAACTGATTTTTATGTGAACCATCCTTTTTTAAAAAATTATCTTGGAACCTTGAGGGTTTTGATTTTATAGGGCTATTCAGCATGCTTGATGTCAGGCTAACTTGCTGATAAAAAAATACCTGGAATTGATAATATTGATAAGCTGTCCTTACTGATCTTCTTTCATGTAGTCAGTCTAAACACAAACTTAGGACCACTCCTCTTGTAGTGTGTACTGGACCTTGCTTATCATACTAAAGTTAGTGCAGTTGTTTTTCGCATAGAACAGTCTATGGCGATATAAAATAAAGCTTTTAGTGCTTGTCTCTGTTCCTCCTGGTCAGTATCAGAGTACTTAAACTCAGGTTGAAATTTGTTTGGGGATCAGCAACTAAGATTTAAAGCAAAAATTATAAACACTTGGAGGTGGCTGTCAAGCTGCCATCTCAGAGGCAATTAGATTTCCTTTAAGATTTATTCCAAAATTTTGTTTGTTTTTTATTTCAAAATACATGCAATAGTTCTCATTCTGAGCATCCCGGAGTAGTTAGCTACGTGTAGTCTCTACATTAGAGTGTATGCTATCTTCTAATTACACAAGTACTGTTACATGTATGTAGCTAGGAGTCAGACGTTGTTTTTCCACTGATCAGTCTTAACATTGTTCCTTAAGGGTCTAATTAATACTAACTTTTGAAAGAATTATTGAATTTTGCGTTGGCCCTTTTGCTTAAAGCCATTAAAGATAAGTTTACTAGCCTTTTACAGTGTGCTTTAAATTTGGTATAAATACATTTAGTGAGCAGATTATTTTCAAGATTAAATATGAGTCATAATTGTGGGGCCAGTATTCAGTATTAAATAACTGTAGTTATTATTGACATTTTTGTACTACTACCTACATATTTGGTCAACAGATTCTGTTTTGAGACAGTCAAGAATATGCTGCACTCATCAAATAATGTAAAATATTAAATTCGTGCCACCTTCTATCCAAAGATGTGAAGTTTTGAGAAATGTTTAAATCCCACCGGGATTTAAATATGTGGCTGTCACTTGTGCATATCTAACAGTGTGTAGTCTCTTTATTTACAATCAGTGAAGCCTCTTCCTCATGCGCATCATTGTTTGTTTCAAGCAGTACTGTCCTCCTATGTTTTTGGATAGTCTCACCTCACCCTTAACAGCAAGCAGTACGTCTGTCACCACCACCAGCCCCCATGAAAGCAGTGCTCATGTTAGTTCATCCAGCAGCAGGAGTGAGACAGGGGTCATAGCCAGCAGTGGAAGTAACATTCCTGACATCATCTCACTGGACTGAAGAAGGAGGATTCTAGGAACCATTCGTCAGAACTGCTCTTTCTTGGATCTCTGGTCCGTGGAAGCTATTTTTTGCCAATTACTTTGATATTTATTGAAACGTCAGATGGATTCATTTGCCTTCTGAGAGGTGAACACAGATGACCGCAACAAGAACCACATGACATGCAAGGATTTTCCTTACTCTTGGTGTACTCTCTGAGCATCAGTTACGTTCAGCTGTAACTACATCCTCCTGAGAGATGGATTTCAACTTCATGTTACTGGATAGATTCTACAAACCAGTTAAATTTTTTTGTTGTAATACACAGCAATAAAATTATGTAAATATTCAAGTACACTTTTTTTCTAATTAAGAAAAGATGTAATCAGTGATTCTAAAATGACAACTTCTCGTTTAACCTGATGTGAAGGAAAAATATGCGGAAAGAAGTTACGTTTGCCAAATGAGTCCTTTCCATGGATTTGTTCTGTTTTCATTGAAGTAATGAAGTCTAGATAAGTGGCCAAAGCTTGGGTTCCACTTTTCTCCGTTTCCATCAAAGAAGAATGGCCTGTGTGCTAAGCATTTCCCCCTGTTGGTTGTTTCCACTCTGGTATTGTGTGCCCTTGAGGGTGGAGTGGAGTTCTGGGATTTGGCTGCTCCTTATTAGTGATTATGTTGAAGAACACTATGCAGAGTCTGCCCTGATACGATGTGTGCTGTTTTTGGTAATTGAACTTTCTTATTCTAGAGATGTCTGTAAATTAGGGGCTTACCTTCTCAAAAGAAATTCTCTGTGACTGTTGACTGAAATGTTTTTTTGGATTGAGGTGTGACTGGAATATTTGTTAAGATTTTGTTCACACTGTCCAGAAGTATTGAGAGCATGGAGGCAGTGGAAGAACAGATTTAGAGGCAGTGGGAATAGCAAAGTTTAATTTCTTCCTAAGAACTTCTTTTACTTGTTTATTTTATAGGATAATGTTCAAATCTGCAATGAGTAATACTGACAAAGTATGTCATAATCTTGTTTTTCTCATAGCAGTGATTTTTAAATTTAAAGAATAAACAATAGCAAAGGGATGGAGGTGGCATCAGATTTCCTGTTTTTTAAAAAAAGAAATGTTTCCTGAAACCACAGAAGATAAAAACAGAAGTGTTTGAGTATAAGAAAAGTTTGAAGAGAGGATGGGCCTGAAACCCACATTGAAAACCATTCTCACTATGTGTTTGATTTTAAATCTCTTAGGAAGCTGAATTTTACCAAGAAACATTTTTATCCAAATTTTATACTTTGCTTTCATTTGGCTGCACAATTTTGATTTCTCAAGGAGTTAATACTTTCCTAATGTTTAGCTTTCTCTCCCTAAGCTGTGTCTAAGTAAACATTTGTTTAAAAATCATTAATCTAGCTGATTTCTCAGGCTGAAATGCCCAGATGCAGAGTCGCCAGTTTCATACAGGATAGGGAACAGTCAGGGTTGGTGCAGCTCCACGGAGCTGCCTTCTCACGGCTTGGTTTTCACACCTTCTCAAGTTCTCATGCCCTTTGTGCTGTTTTTGTACTCATTTAACTTCCTGTGATTTTCTACATCATCCCTTCTTTGGCTGTATTATCCCTTTAATGTATTATCCCTTTTGGAGAGTTAAAAACATGGAAAACAAACCTGAATCTTCTTGCAGTCGTTACATCATAGTTGCCAGTTTTAAATTCTTAGGACATGTTGCAGTCCTTTGGTCCATACACAGAATTTATTCCTGGTAAAATTTTATATTGCTGCTCTAAATGTGGATGCAAGTTCTGTTAACTCTGTAATCAGACAGAAAAAGTAACCTGATTTGTGTGGTATAATTTGTTAATAAAGAAATGCTGTCTATTTGTTAACCATTTTGTTACCCATTGGATTCTCAGAGACCCTCCCTTCCCCAACTTAACCCACGGAGTTTTACAAGGTCAATGAAGAAAACAATCGAAATTAGTTCCTTTACTTGATTCTTGTAACTGATGACCCTGTGCTGTTTCACTTGTACTTTGTTTCCTTTTCACTGTTTTATGTGAACAGTTTTATTGTTCATTTTTGGTGCTTTACACTAAATTACACAAATTTTCAATTTATCTCATACAGGCAACTCACACTTTTTAAAATATACTTTTAAGTTTATAATCTTAAAATTGAGACTTTTATGTGTGTATCTTTGAAGGTGAGTACCTTTTATTATGCTTTTGGCTCTATGACAACAGCATGCTTACTAAGCCATTGTCCTTTTTTAGCATGGTCACCAAATACTTTTACTGGGACCCTGCCTTTGTAGTAGTGTCTTTTACTAGCCAAGATACCTGCTCAACCAAGTATAATTCCGTTTCAGAGGAGGTCTTCTCTAGCTGTTACCTAGACGGCAGCCAACCATCTGCCATCTGATGATGTTTAAGAAAAGGAACTGCAGTTACCAACCTCTTACAAACACTTAGCCAGCCTGTTTTTATCTTTGTTCACATAGAAATGTTAGAAGAGTTTCCTTGCTTTGGTAACTCATGACAATATAATTGGTACTGAATGTAGCTTCAGGCCTAAGGTCTGCTTATATCGACTAACTTTTTGATTCTTAGGTAAGCTGCTGTAGGAGTTTGTTTCCATTTCTGCCCAGAAGGTATAAATTCTTTCAGCATCTGTTGTGGGATGATTATAAAGGCCAGATGAAACCCGTAGAGTCCAAAAAGCTAGAATGGAAATACCATGATTAAGTGAAAGATTGTGAGTATAAATAAGGAGATCCATAACTGGGTATAAAGCAAATTTCCCTGGGGTAGAATTTTAAAAGGATGTGAAGAAAGGTTGGATTTTAGAGGAAAGATATTTAGCAGACTGTTTTGACTTAGGATTCAGACCTTTCAGCCATTCTGCCTTCAGAGCAGTCCTGAACATCTGTCATCTAGTAACCAAGTTGTATGCTTTTCTTCTGCCAAATAAGTATTTATTAGTTACATTTTGTCTTTTTAAGTAAAGTTGAATTTTATAAAATATTAGTTCTCAACTCTGTCTTTAATTTCTCTCTGGCCCCCAATGGGTGTGAAACAAGTCTCCACCTGCCCCAAGTAAACACTTTTTATTTTCCTAATATTTTTCATCGTGGAAAATGTAGGGCAGTGTGCCATTTAAAACTTGAGCCTGACATTGTATTTTGTGACCCTGGGTCTATGTGTTGTGGGAGCATGGAGGTGTCATTTAGGTTGGTAATTCATGACGGAACCTGATTCACCATCTTTTCTTCTACATTTCTGCATGAATATGGTGAAAATTACAGGAAAGAAATTTAATCATTTCTCTGCTTTTTAAAGAATGACTGGTTTGTAAGCCCCCACTTTTTTGTTAGGAACCACACTCCAATTCCTAGAAGAAACCAGTAAAGCTATATACAAATGCCCATTCTGCTTTAATGCTTACCTGATTCAATATATTTTTTCTGTTTGTGTTGGTAATACATGCTTGCAGAAAGGGCACTTAAATATTTTTGAATGTTTCTTGCCGGTCACTTTGCTACATGTTTGTGATCTTACATAGTTTTATTCATTCTCCATGTAATTTGTATCTTGATTTTTTTTTTCTCAGTCTACAGGCATTATTCCATGTCACTAAAAACTACATTGTATGGATGTGCCATGCTTTCTGTTGCCTTTCCCTGTTTGACATTTTAGGTTGTATCTCATGATGCTGTTACAGTGCGTGTCTTTGTGCATAAATTATTTCCTTAGGATAAATTCCTAGAGGTGAACTTCTGAGTCAAGGATGTAAATACTTCTGTAGTTTTTGGTGCACAGCACTTCTCCAAGTGGTTATGCTAACCATTTAGTATGAGAAGAACTATCTAACCATGTTTTCCAAGAATATGTACCATTAACTGTATGCAGGCATCTGCATTAAGGCCTTCCACCTCTGACTTTGGTGAGCTGGGGTAACTGATTTGGAGATAATTGGCAGAGATTTTCCTGGGATGTCTCAGTTTCAAATATATCTATATGATATGTTCCAGAAACACCTGCTTATAAGGGTATCCAAATGATTTTTCACACATTTTTACTTGCATTATGAAGTAGCCCGTTGTTACACTACGTTTTCCATTTTTAGTTAGAAAGTCTTGACTTTCTGAAACCACCTTTCCCTGGGGCCAGCCCTTAGTAGCCAGCTCTCTCTTTTTTTCCTCTTCCCTTAGGCTCCATTTTGGCCTTTCTGAGTTCCCCAAAGCCAGTAGGATCTTCTGAGCCAAAGGCAGTCCAACTCAAACTGGAAAAGTGGTAAGGCTAAAGCAACAACAAAAGCAGAGCTAAGCTTTGCTTTTTCATTTTTTTTCGTGTGTGTTTCCCACCCCATCTTGGTGTTCTCAGAGTAGCTCTAGGAAAAGAAAAAACAGATTGCTGTCTTCATTTGCTCAGGGTATTACTTTCTTGATTGGCATACCATGTTGTTTCCTGAACTGTTTCCTTTTGAATGGATTTTAAAGCTGCTTTTATGTTTTCAAAGCTCAAATCTTTTACATGAAGAGTGTTGTGTTATAAAATATCTCTCTTATTTTGGCCTTCACAAACCATTCAACAAGATTTCGGTGTGTTTTAAAAGTGTATGTGGACTAGACTGTATAACAGATTTGGTCCCATTCTTCAAAGGGCTTACAACAAGTTTTCAAAAATCAGGAATTCTTAGCTACTAAGAGATGTGCTAAGAAACTTACAAAATGTCACATTCCTTACTACAGTCTTTCAAAGGAAAGTGGTGTTGTCTTTATGTTGCAAATGAAGAAACTGATAAATTTTGCAGTTGGACTTGGGTGTCTGAAACAGACCTATTAATTCAAAAGCCTTATGACTCAACTGAAGTGACACTAATTAGGTAGGCCATTTGGGAGACTGGTATGGTAATCTAGACATAAAATTATGAGAACTGATTTCAGGTGATGGCTACAGGAATAAGGAAGGAGTGGATGATGGAGCCATTTCAAAGGAAGACTCGAGAGTAAGTGGATGTAGGAATAAGAGCTGAGTCCATTTCTCAGGGTAGAGTGGACAACAGCCATTAAGGGGGGACAGTGGTGAGTTTGATGATGAAGATGAGATTTCAGAAAGGAAGTTTTCAAGAAGCTTCTTTTTGTTCTGCAGCCTTACGAAGTGCAAGCTTCTCTGCCTCCATTTTCCCTTTCACTTGTCTCCCTTCTGTATGTGTCCTGGTCTCTCCCAGTTGCCTCGCCGCGCTTGCGCTCGTGCATGCCCAGTCGCTCAGTCGTGACCGACTGTTCCCCGTTGGACTGTAGCCCATGTCACCTGCGTCACAGGTGGATTCTTCAGCTGCTGAGCCGCGGGGAAGCCCCCCCTGTCCACCCTCTCTCCTCCCTTAACCGTGCTTGGCTGCAAGTTGATATTTTTTTTGAATTTGCACTTAACTGCCTTGTCATAACGAATTTGGCTGTCTCCTAAAGGCCTGCCATAGCCTGCAGCTCTCACCAGTGTGGGCTGTGTCCACATTCCATGTATCTCAGGAGGTGGTGGTGGCTGCCCTTCCTCTGTCTTGTAATTTCTAAATAATTTCTCAAGGCTTCTGACAAAAATCTGCCCTTTTGTTGCCCGTGTCAGGAAGTTATACTGTCAGTTACCTCTGCTCTTACCATCGATCATTCCCATTGATTTGCTGAAGGCCTCACTTCCTAACAGTGTACTTGGCCATCTCTGATTCTGTCGTATTCTCAGTGACTTCATGTTCTGACAGATGATCCATCCAACACTGGCTGGTGAGATTTTTGGTTATCTTGCCTCCAACATTTTCTTCCATTGAAACTCCCTATTTAACCCTCTCTATTTTCTTTGTACTAATTATCCAACTTCATTATCACATCCTTCAGCATGTCCTCAGACCCCTTTCTCAGTCACCTACCAGTCCTTGACACTGCATGGTTCTTTCCCCATTCTCATCAATTAATGCAAATACTGCCATTCCTTTTTTCTTTTTTAATTGAAGTATAGTTGATGTACAAAATTATGTTAATTTTAGATATACTACATGATTTGATGTTTGCATGTATTATGATCACCATGATAAACATAACCATTTGTCTCCATATGAAGTTACAGTAATGTATTATGCTGTATATTTTCATTCCTGCAGCTTATTTTATAACTGGAGGTTTATATGTCTTAATTCCCTTTACCCATTTCTTCTCCTCTCCAGCCCCTCCCTCCTGGCAACCACCCATTTATTCTCATACATGTATGAGTATTTTCATTTCATTTGATTAGATTTCACATAGGAGCAAGATCATATGATATTTGTGATCCATGCATGTTGTTGGAAATGGCAAAATTTCTTTTTTGTTGTTAATGGCTGTGTTATGTATGTATGCACTTTACCCATTCATCTGTGGGCACTTACGGTGCTTCCATATACATTGGCTATTGTAAAATAATGTTGCAGTGAGTATTGATGTGCATATATCTCTTTGAAGTCACTTGACTTACAATGCCCAGAAGTGGAATTGCCAGATCATACGGTAATTTTACTTCTTAATTTTTTGAGAATCCCTCATACTCTTTTCCATTCTAGCTGCACCAGTTTACTGCAGCCAACAGTGCACAAGGGTTTCCTTTTTTCCACATCCTCGTTAACACTCTTTTGTGTGTGTGTTTGATGACAGCCTACCGCTCCTGTTCAGAACACACCTTTCTTAGCAGGTGATCTTGTTTGCAAATTCAATCAGAAGATTCAGGACTTCAGCATGATTTCTTTTCCTCTGTGCTTACCTTCATCTTTTATTCCAGCCTCAGAGAATGAGTTGGGCCAAAGGCCAGTTCATCCCCATGAACCTTCGACTCCTATGTCCTCTGTTGTCCTCAGGACCTTCCTCCATGAGAATTGCCCTCTATCCTCTATGTCTTCCACCTTTTGGCTGCCGCTTTTGGCTTATAAAAGTCTCATGTCATGAAATATTTGAGAGGCTATTATATGCCAGTATATATAGAGACTTACCTTCAGCAAAGTTGTCACCCAGTAGATGGGGCGTCCCTGGTGGCTCAGATGATAAAGAATCCACCTGCGGTGCAGGAGACCTGGGTTCCATCCCTGGGTTGGGAAGATCCCCTGGAGAAGGGAGTGGCTACCCACTCCAGTGTTCTGGCCTGGAGAATTCCATGGGCTGTATAGTCCATGGGGTCACAGAGTCAGACACGACTGAGCGGGTAGTACTAACTACAGACTGACTAAAGCCATATAGGTGAGAGAATAGGGGGATCATAGTGCAGTGGGTAAAGGGGGAGTCGGGGTGCTGCAGGAGCACACGGATGAAGAGACGGCTGAAAATGTCCAAAATGGCCAGAAGTTTGCTAAGGAATGTTAAGAGAAGTATGTCAGAAATCATGAAAAACCTTGCAAAATATCAATAGCAAGAAGTTATTGAAGATTTTTCATGGTGCTTCAAAATAAGGAGCATTGGTCAAGTTTCATTTGATAATTTCCATTCTACAAATGTGGAAACAGATTCTGAGAGGGTAAGTGGCTTGTAGCATATAAGCAAGGAGTCAGACTTCATGCCCAGTTTTTAACCATCTTCTCATAGAGGCCTTCCTTGACTATTCTATCTAAAAAGTGTTCCCTAAATATCCTAACCACATCACTGTTTGTATCCTTTGTGGCAGATAGCACAACCTCTGTTTATTTTATGTATTAGGTCACTGTGTATTTGTTTCCTCTGCTAGATTGTAAGCTCCATGAGGGCAGGGGTGATACTTCAATTGCATCCCAGAGCCAGACATGGTGTGGCATATAGTAGGTGCTCAATAAATGCTTGTGAATGAAGAAATGGTGGGTTGTCATTTGTGTTTGACTTATGCTGACTGTAGAAATCACTTGACATCTGAGCAACAGGTATTCACAAGGGAGGGAAACAAGAGAAGGCAGATGGCTGAAAGAAGCTGGGGATTTTGGAGGAAGTGAGCTCACTAACCTCTAATAGACTCCAAGCTCTTACAGGGGTGAGGGCCAGGAATGGGAGATTGGTAGGGAAATGCACAGTAGGGACAAGAATGTGCCAGTAGGTGTTTTATTAAACCTGAATGCCTAGGACCCGTTGTAGACTCATTCTACTGTATACGTAAGGCTGGGGAAATTCTGCCTGTAATCTCTATATCCAAGGGGCCAAGTTACCTGGGTCAGCCATACTGCTCTGAGTATTGCAGTAAAATTGTATTGGTATTTTGGAATGCCAGACACCTTACCTGCCTCCTGTGAAACCTGTATGCAGGTCAAGAAGCAACTGTTAGATCCGGACTTGGAACTATGGACTGGTTCCAAATTGGGAAAGGAATACGTCAAGGCTGTATTTTGACATCCTGCTTATTTAACTTATAATATGTAGAGAACCTCATGGGAAATGCCAGGCTGGATGAAGCACAAGCTGGAATCAAGATTGCTGGGAGAAATATCAATAACCTCAGACAATATATTAAAAAGCAGAAACATTACTTTGCTGACAAATGTCTGTATAGTCAAAGCTACGGTTTCCAGTAGTCGTGTATGGATGTGAGAGCTGGACCATAAAGAAGGCTGTGTGCCAAAGAATGGATGCCTTTGAACTGTGATGTTGGAGAAGACTGTTAAGAGTCCCTTGGACTGCAAGGAGATCAAACCAGTCAATCCTAAAGGAAATCAATTCTAAATATTCATTGGCAGGACTGACGTTCAAGCTGAGGTTCCAATACTTTGACCACCTGATGTGAAAAGCTGATTCATTAGAAAAAACCCTGACGCTGGAGGTTGAAGGCAGGAGGAGACAGGACAGCAGCATGAGGTGTTTGGATGGCATCACCGACTCAGCGGACATGGAGTGCAAGCCAGCTCTGGGAGATGGTGAAGGACAGAGAAGCGAGGAGTTGGACACGACTGAGTAACTGAACAACAGCAAAATTGAAGGAGAGCTTTAGTTTTTTAAAACGTGGAATATGGAGTAGTACTGGTTTCTTGATGGTTTATATAATGATTTGGGGAAACCACATTTTCAGAGCTGATTAGCTGTCTCTTCATAGCATTTCCATGTTGGGGATACAAAAGCCCAGCATTCTAATGCTTGAGGAAAACCTTGTTTTGTCTCAGCAGTTTATGACGTAGTTTGGCCACATGGGCAGTTATGCTGCTGCGTGTCTTCTCTCACTTGAGCTACTGTCACGGCAGGAAGCGTCTTACTGTTTTCATCCCTGCCTCTCTATACCTATTTCTTGCAGTAACAAGCTTGTTTTCTTTTTTTTTTTTAATTTAGTTTTGGCTGTGCTGGGTTTGTTGCTCCATGGGCTTTTCTCTGGTGAAAGGGAGCTGGGGCTGCTCTTTGATAGCGATGCATGGGCCTCTCATTGCAGCAGCTTCTGTTTTTGCAGAGCACGGGCAACAGGGCACACAGGCCTCAGGATAGTTGCAGTTCCCAGACTCGAGAGCACAGGCTCAGTACTTGTGGCACTGGGGCTAAGTTGCTCCACAGCTTGTGGGATCTTCTCAGACCAGGAGTCGAACCCTTGCTCCTGTAGTGGCAGGCAGATGCTTTACCACTGAACCACCAGGGAGGCCCCACAAGTTCACTTTCTTAAGACACAATTCAGATCATGTAACCGCGCTGCTCAAAATCCTCAATGTTTCCCTGGCTCGCTCTGGGTAAATCTGATGTTTTTACCATGACCTACAAGGCCCTACGTCAGTGATTCTAAAACTTTCAAATGTGACCATAGTAAGAAATATGTTCTAAGTTACGTCTCAATATACACACTATATTTTAAAAACAAAATTTTAGGAATCAGTGTTGGTCCTTACATATTTAAAAAGCATATATGACTTCATTAACATTTAAATAAAGTATGATTAATGAATTAAAGTATGATTAATGAATTATCCGGTAATTTCATTCAGTATATTTTTCATTTCTAGAAATTCATTTAGGGTCTATATTTAGTATATTCCAAGTTGCTAATTGAGTCTTTGAATATATGGAATAAAATTATAACAACTGATTCACTGTCCTTATTGGCAAATTCTAACATCTGGGTCCATTCTGGTTTGATTTTGGTTGGTTGGTATGTTTCCTCATTATGGATTGTGTTTTTCTGCTTCTTATATGCCTGGTGATCTTTGTTTAGATGCCAGGCATTGTAAATTTTATGTTGCACTGAATATATTTGTGTTTGTATGAATGAATTGAGCATTGTTTTGGGATGCATTTATGTTACTTGGAAGTACTTGATTCTTTCATGTCTTGGTTTTATGATTTTTTTTAGAAGCTTCCAGAACAGTGATCTCTCCAAGGCTAGCTATTCCACAATAATGAGGCAAGACCCTCCTGGTTATTATATGCAGTGCTTCTTGAATTGTGAGGTTTTACACTGTGGCTGTTGGGAATAGGCACCATTTCTGGTCCTATGTGCTTGACATTATTCCCTCTTAATTCTTTTGTATTTTTTTCCCCATCCTCATATAATTTACTTACATGTATTTATTGATAGCAACTGTGATGAATTCTGGAAGGAATCCCTCTCTGTTTAGCTCCTTGTCTCTTGTTTTCTGTCCTGCAAATTCTCACCACCCTCGTCTCTGGATTCTCAGCTCCATTTCCTAAATTCAGAGGATCTGCTGGCCTTTGCCTGGGTTTCTCTACTGTGCTGCAGCTTGAAAACTCGCGAGGTAATGAGCTGGGGCAGTGGTAGGGCTCAACTCATTTGTTTCTGCTCTCAAGAATCACTGTCCTTTGTTGCCTGATATCCAACATCTAAGAAGCAGTTGTTCCATATACTTTGAGAATATTTTGATTGTTGCAGGCTGAAGGATAAAGCCAGTCTTCTTGGATGGAAGGGAAGTCACTAACTTTTTATGTTTCAAATTTCTCTCCTGGAATATAGTGATTAAAAGTCTGTGATGGAAAAATGAGGTATAACACTCTAATTTTGTTTTGTTTAAGCCACTGTCATAAATACATTCACATTGCTAACAATGTTGAGAAATATGATACAGTAATATCTTTCAAGTCTTATTTTCCACTTAAAAATATTGTTGATAATCTTTCTGAAAAACAAACTTAGCATAATTGAAACTCATAGTAATGACATGTTTACCAACAGAAGATTATACGTCTGTGCATTTAGCTTGATAAACTACAAACTGTGTTAATATAAAACTCAGATAATACAGCAGTAACCCTCCTAATAGAAGTTTACCTTCATATGCTAGAAAATCAAATGGAACAACATTATACAAAAGATTAAATGACCTATTCCTTCCATTTATATATTCATCACATGCTCTTTACTGTTTTTCCTGTGCTGTTTGTCTCAGTTGGCTCTAGTGTTTATTGAGACATTTCTAGTTCTTGCAGAATGTTCATGGGTCTGCTCACTTAGGTATCTATTTTGCTAGTTATTTATAATATCTTTATTTTTGAAAATACTGATTGTGACCCTCTACATTGCTTTCCTAACACATTAAATTGAAGTGTCTAGTTCTTGCAGAGTCCATAGCTGTTTTTCTATTCTAATATTTATTTCTGTTGTTTTGAAATTCTGAGTGTGACCCATTAGTTACATTGGTTTCCTAACATTAAATTGTGTCACCCAGCAGTTTGAAAAGTTGCCTGATAACACTGGATTTTGTCCAGCTGGCTAGGATCAAACAGGCACCTATTTGAACCTAGTCAGTCTCCTGCTGGAACAGCTAAGAGTCTTAGATATTAAAAAAAAAAGAAAGTTTTTAAAAGAAGCTTTGAAGCATTGATTAGCTAGTATAAAATCAAGGAATTCTCAAGGAAGAAGTAAAATGGGGTATCTAGAGAGTAAGACAAAACTCTGCTGCAGTTGGCTTCACCAATTATTTGTTGAAGTTATTTGTTGACCAGAGCAACCTGACTTTGGTCTTCACAGGCTCTGGGGCATGATTATAGCAAGCAAATCTCAAAGGTCCTAAGTTACCTACTATGTGATCTTCTCCCCATAGAACCAGAGCCCAAAGAACTGTACCTTTAGTATAAAGATGAAGTAGCAGTAATCCTAGTCTACGAGGGAATCACAAGGAATCTGAGCTTTTAGCTAAGGAGGAAAATTATCACAAGGCTTCATATTCACACAGTCTTGTAGCTTGAATGCATAATGTTAGATATTTTGACTAAAACTTCAGCTTGAAAATTTAGTTAGTGACCCTCCGTAATGGTTGTGCCCCATGGTACCTGGCAGATGTA